TTAAGGCACTATGTCAGCAGAGATCAGATAGGGCAAGTCCCAATCATCATCGCCAATGTTACACACAGTTCGGTAATGGTTTCGTAGTTCACTGTCCTCAAAACATGAGTCATTTCTAGTCCTAATAATACTGTACACCTTTACGCCATCTTATGGCATATTTTACATTACATCGAGAATTTATGTTCAAGTATTACCAACATTCTGGTGTAAAGGATTGTGAAGTTACCATGGCCATCATAAGCTCATATGACTCTAAAGATATATTTAGGCATCCCAACAATACGCAAGACTAATCATGTCTCATGAAGCTGTAATTTAATATCCTACTTTAAGGATATGTGTGCATTGCTTTTGTAAGACTGAAGGAAAGTCTGTTGTGCAGGGTTTTACGGATGCAAAAATGTGCATCCATATACGCAAATACAAACACAATGGATGCAAGATAAATATGTACTGCATGCTGAGGGATTCACAATAATATTCTTTATACCTGGTACTCAATTCTTGACAAGATACTAAAATAGTTACTAAATATTACGGTTCGGTACACTATACCATTTCATTACATTTGTCAGGACCCTTGAAGTTAGTAACTGGGTGTCGTCTGGACCCATAGTTTTGTAGGTCAAGGTCAACCCCTGGTTGTGTGTAGGCTGTGTACAGTTGGCTCAGAAGGTATTGAGGATCTATTAAGGCACTATGTCAGCAGAGATCAGATAGGGCAAGTCCCAATCATCATCGCCAATGTTACACAGACAGTTCACCTATGTTACAACTGCAATTTTGTTAATAGGATTATTCCTGAATTTCAGCACTTTAGGCTTGCTTGTAACAAGCTGTTTCTTTGTTCATGACCATGGAAACAGAATGCTCTTCTCTCAGCAACTGCCTCAAACAAACCCTGCCTACTAGCACCTCTGAGTATGTTTTGCTTGCTTTAAACTTCGGGAGATTTAGTATCTAAATAAAGAAAATAGTCTATACAGAAGAATATTCCAGACTAAAATAACATGTACAAGCAAATATCCAACTTACTTGAATACTGAATGTCTGAAAAAGTTCTTTTTTTTTTTAGGTGTGTATGCAGTGTATGAAATAAGCCAAAAATCCAGCCAGACATCAGGGCTGGTAACTTCAAAATGTTACCAGCCCAAAATGGATTTAACCAGACCAAATATGCTGAATTTACTCAGATGTATGGGAACATTTAAGTTTTTTACCAGACCATCGGGCTGGCTAGCTGTAAATTTAGACCGTCCGTCAGAATTCTAGACCGTCTCGGGCGGTCAGACAGGCCTTGTTTCATACACTGGTGTATGAAAAGTGGTTACTGCTGACATTTAGTGAGGCCAATTACAAAATACTGGTGCTTATGCTTGTACAACTCAAGTCCTGTCAGTTATCAATTGTCTGTCTTGGAGCATGGCCAAATACTTTGTGAATAGCGTATAGTATTGCACAAACACTTTCCACTCAGCGACCATAAATACATTGCCAAAGTGTCTTTGATGAATATCCAGTCAAGTGGCACTGTTGCATGAATGTTTTTACTTCACAACACAATTCACTATACAATAACCCATAACCCTTATAGAAATCTGGTAAACTCATTTCTAGTTAATCTTTGAGTTCAATTAAGTACTTACTCTTGTTACTGCTAGTTCATGCGTCCGTAACCTGTAACACTTGGCTCAGAAGGTATTGAGGATCTATTAAGGCACTATATAATAGCAGAGATCAGATAGGGCAAGTCCCAATCCTCATTGCCATTGCTGCTACCAAGGTTACAGACAGTTCCTCGCGTTCATTCACATTGCCTACTAAATTTGGCTTTGTATGTCTACATGGCCAGAGCAATATCTAAATATTATTATATTTCTTTATAGGATATTTATATAGCACACATATCCACGCAACTAGTGCTTGCTCAAGGCGCTGAAAATAATATACCGAACTCTCTAGTCATGTCCTATGTCATGGTCTTCTGACAACCAACATGCACATCAGAACTAGTCACCTACTTATATGGTTTTGACAAAATTAGTAAACATTAATACTTGAACCTAGTAGGATTTAAGAACAGCCAACAAGGTCAAAAGTGTTAATTAAACAGTTTGGTTATGATCACAACCAGGTCAGTGATTTTTCCAGACCATGTACCTCGGATTTCCCGCTTATATGAACTGTGTTTCCTGCTTATATCAACTGTTTCCAGTATCTATACCCTGTGTTTCCGGTATCTATATCAACTGTTTCCAGTATCTATACCCTGTGTTTCCAGTATCTATACCCTGTGTTTCCAGTATCTATACCCTGTGTTTCCAGTATCTATACCCTGTGTTTCCAGTATCTATACCCTGTGTTTCCAGTATCTATACCCTGTGTTTCCAGTATCTATACCCTGTGTTTCCAGTATCTATACCCTGTGTTTCCAGTATCTATACCCTGTGTTTCCAGTATCTATACCCTGTGTTTCCAGTATCTATACCCTGTGTTTCCAGTATCTATACCCTGTGTTTCCAGTATCTATACCCTGTGTTTCCAGTATCTATACCCTGTGTTCCATATCCCCTGTGTTTCCAGTATCTATACCCTGTGTTTCCAGTATCTATACCCTGTGTTTCCAGTATCTATACCCTGTGTTCCAGTATCCATACCCTGTGTTTCCTGTGTTTCCAGTATCCATACCCTGTGTTTCCATATCTATACCCTGTGTTTCCAGTATCTATGTTTCCAGTTTCCAGTATCTATACCCTGTGTTTCCATATCTATACCCTGTGTTTCCAGTATCTATACCCTATCTACCCTGTGTTTCCAGTATCTATACCCTACCCAGTGTTATACCCCTGTATTTCTATATACCCTGTGTTTCCAGTATCTATACCCTGTGTTCCAGTGCATCTATACCCTGTGTTTCCAGTATCTATACCCTATACCCTGTGTTTCCAGTATCTATACCCCACTGTGTTTCCAGTATCTATACCCTGTGTTTCCAGTATCTATACCCTGTGTTTCCAGTATCTATACCCTGTGTTTCCAGTATCTATACCCAGTTTCCCAGTATCTATACCCTGTGTTTCCAGTATCTATACCCTGTGTGTTTCCAGTATCTATACCCTGTGTTTCCAGTATCTATACCCTGTGTTTCCAGTATCTATACCCTGTGTTTCCAGTATCTATACCCTGTGTTTCCAGTATCTATACCCTGTGTTTCCAGTATCTATACCCTGTGTTTCCAGTATCTATACCCTGTGTTTCCAGTATCTATACCCTGTGTGTTCCAGTATCTATACCCTGTGTTTCCAGTATCTATACCCTGTGTTTCCAGTATCTATACCCTGTGTTTCAGTATCTATACCCTGTGTTTCCAGTATCTATACCCTGTGTTTCCAGTATCTATACCCTGTGTTTCCAGTATCTATACCCTGTGTTTCCAGTATCTATACCCTGTGTTTCCAGTATCTATACCCTGTGTTTCCAGTATCTATACCCTGTGTTTCCAGTATCTATACAGTCTATACCCTGTGTTTCCAGTATCTATACCCTGTGTTTCCAGTATCTATACCCTGTGTTTCCAGTATCTATACCCTGTGTTTCCAGTATCTATACCCTGTGTGTTTCCAGTATCTATACCCTGTGTTTCCAGTATCTATACCCTGTGTTTCCAGTATCTATACCCTGTGTTTCCAGTATCTATACCCAGTGTTTCCAGTAATATACCCTGTGTTTCCAGTATCTATACCCTGTGTTTCCAGTATCTATACCCCTGTGTTTCCAGTATCTATACCCAGTGTTTCCAGTATCTATACCCTGTGTTTCCAGTATCTATACCCTGTGTTTCCAGTATCTATACCCTGTGTATCTATACCCTGTATCCAGTATATACCCTGTGTTTCCAGTATCTATACCCTGTGTTTCCAGTATCTATACCCTGTGTTTCCAGTATCTAGTATCTATACCCTGTGTTTCCAGTATCTATACCCTGTGTTTCCAGTATCTATACCCTGTGTTTCCAGTATCTATACCCTGTGTTTCCAGTATCTATACCCTGTGTTTCCAGTATCCTGTGTTTCCAGTATCTATACCCTGTGTTTCCAGTATCTATACCCTGTGTTTCCAGTATCTATACCCTGTGTTTCCAGTATCTATACCCTGTGTTTCCAGTATCTATACCCTATACCCTGTGTTTCCAGTATCTATACCCTGTTCCAGTATCTATACCCTGTGTTTCCAGCATCTATACTTCCAGTATCTATACCCTGTGTTTCCAGTATCTATACCCTGTGTTTTTCCAGTATCTATACCCTGTGTTTCCAGTATCTATACCCTGTGTTTCCAGTATCTATACCCTGTGTTTCCAGTATCTATACCCTGTGTTTCCAGTATCTATACCCTGTGTTTCCAGTATCTATACCCTGTGTTTCCAGTATCTATACCCTGTGTTTCCAGTATCTATACCCTGTGTTTCCAGTATCTATACCCTGTGTTTCCAGTAATTATACCCTGTGTTTCCAGTATCTATACCCTGTGTTTCCAGTATCTATACCCTGTGTTTCCAGTATCTATACCCTGTGTTTCCAGTATCTATACCCTGTGTTTCCAGTATCTATACCCTGTGTTTCCAGTATATATACCCTGGTTTCCAGTATCTATACCCTGTGCCAGTATCTATACCTTGTGTTTCCAGTATCTATACCCTGGTTTCCAGCCTATATCAACAGGGTTTCCAGAACACCTACACTGGGTTTTGAGCACACATCAAATGGGTTTCCCGCATATATCAAATGGATTTCCAGTCCATATCAACTGGGTTTCCAGCACACCTGCACTGGGTTTCCATCCTAAAAACACAGTGAGACAGATTAACAGTTCGTATGCACTATATAAGCACCAGGTCCACCAGCAGAACTCGTTGAAAGCTTCTTATGACAACCCCAGTTGTACTATGTATATTATCTAAAAGACAAAAAAAACAAAGAATTGTTCGAGGCACTGACCTCCTTTGATGACAACAGTGATCTGTTTGAAATAGTTGTGCTTCCTGAGATGACAGCGAGGGCAGCAGACAAGGCATTGACGGCACCACGACTGGCAATGAGAGATTCTGCAGACTCTTTGAAATGCTCTAGAGTTTCATTGGGTACATCATCAAGGGACCTGTAGGAGAGAGGCTTCATTTGTCAGATATACAACACAATAACATACACTGCAGGTTTAAGAATAGAAAGTTGACAGATAAGAAACACTCAATGCCTTTTCAAGATTCTCAATGTAGTTCATTTTTTAAATTTTTTTCCTTCAAACCAGCATACTACATGTAAGTGTTTGATTGGCATTTTTAGAAGATGCTATTCGATGAACATAGAGAATTTTCTGGTTTTCATCTTCTTTTTATTGTTTGGTACAACCTTTCAGGGCTTGTTCTGGCTCCATCATCACCTCATGATGGAGCCAGAACAAGCCCTAAAGGTTGTACCAAACAATAACAAGAAGATGAAACCCAGAAAATTCTCTATGTACATATTAGTGTTAAGACCTTAAAAACAGTAAGGACACCTGATATTCTCCTAGAGAATTTTTGACAAAATCAAATCTGTTCCACAAGTTCGTCTTTTCATCTATTTTGGAGATTTTCAAGGTGATCAATGGTGACACTAGAAATCAAGGCATTTTCAAGAGGGACCGTTAACATTCAATGCCTTTACAAGCTTTAATAAGCCTTGATTTAGAACAAAGAACAACAAAAGACAACTGTTAAGTTTAAGAAATCTTTTCACTTCTGAGTGAGTGAAAATCTAAGGTTGCAACAGCAATTTTTCAGTCTAGTAGCCACATACTGCTTCCATGAAATGCACTACAGTGAATGTCTTGGTTTAAACAACGAACCTGACAGCATCAATGGCCCCAGCCTTGATCATCTCCTCGGGTGACGGTGGACCGATCCTCTGGAAAGTTACACCCTGAAAGACCAAACAGAATGACATATATTCCTGCCTAATTACCAAGGCATTTAAAAAAACAACAACACAGTGAGTGAGTGAGTATAGTTTTACGCAGCACTCAGCAATATTCGAACAAACCTGTAGAGATTTCTGATTCTTTGAAGAACGTCCTTCTTGAGATATCTCGCTGACAAGAGTAAAACGTAAAAGTCCCTGTTACCTTGAAATGAAGGTCAAGGTAACCAAACCTGACTGGGACTTTTCCTATACTGAGGTGAGGTGAGGTGAAATTGGGTTTAACGTCGTGCTTGAGAATATTTCGCTCATATGACGACGTGCATGCGTGTGTATGTGTATCTGCTTGTACTAGCCCAGACTTAAGCTGGTTTTATAGTGCTAGCTCACTGAGATACCATGCCGCAGTGAAGCATGAATACCCCACTCAGACACAGTATACTGACTCCGAGCCGACCAGTCCTTGTTGTACCCAATAATGCCGAGCGCCAGGCAGGGACCAAAAAGTACCATATTTTAACGTCTTTTGGTATGACGCGGTCGGGGATCAAACCCGCGACCTTCCGCTTTCCAGGCGGACGCTCTAACCACTACACCATGGAGGCGGTCTCCTATACTGTGATGAACCTTGGTACCAAATATGAAAAGAATTTAGTCAACGGTTCTTAAGATATTCCAATTTGTACGGACGGACGGAGCCTAATACTATATAAATATGAAGTTAGTTGGTTATCCACTGCTTCTAGCAATATTTTTGAAATATCACGGCGTGGGATACCAGAAATGGGCTTCACACATTGAATCCATGTGGGGAATCAAACATAGGTCTTTGGTGTGATGAGTGAACACTTTAACCACTAAGCCCCACCGGCCTCTTGACAAGAAACATCAGGTTCCTGTAATTAACACAGTTAATTAGTTTACGGTTCGGTACACTATACCATTTAATTACTTTACAGGACCCGCATATTTCCTGTAAAGACTCTTGAAATTAATAACTGGGTGTTGTCTGGACCCATGGTTTTGTAGGTCAAGGTAAACCCCTGGTTGTGTGAAGGCTGTGAACATTTGGCTCAGAAGGTATTGAGGATCTATTAAGGCACTATGTCAGCAGAGATCAGATAGGGCAAGTCCCAATCATCATCGCCAATGTTACACAGACAGGTCACCTATACTGCAACTGCCAACACCCGTAAAGATGAAGAGGACATGGCAGTTCTTCCTATTTGCTGTTCAACAATGCGATCTTAGCTCCATGATGACAACTCCAAGTTTATGTCCGTCGAAGTGCTACAATCGCTTTGTGGAACGCAACCCCACTATATCAGTATATGGCACCACTCGGACATACTTACTGCTTGTTTCTCCACCCACAGGAGACTGCTCTCCTCTTGGGGTTTATAGAAGCAGACGCAGGCACCAGATCTCCCCGCTCTTCCTGTCCGACCTGATCGGTGGATGTAGGAATCCGTGTCCTTTAATGAACAAAACATTCCAATTTGTACAAAATCATTTCTTTTAGAAAGCAGAGTCTTGCTGCATAAACTTAGAAGTATCTATAATTTAGCTAAATTTCCTCGGATACAAAAGGTTCTTATATTTTCCTTTGAAAAGGGGGACATAAAAACACTTCACCAGTGTTGTTGACAACTTATTTACATTACTGCACCAAATACTGCAGGAATTATTAAACTTCAAAAGTGTTAATTTGAAAAATCGTTGGCTAATCAAAAAATGATTTTATTCATTCTAATTATTCCATTGCAATAAATTTAATAATAAACATCTTATATCATAAATTTCAATACTATGCAACACAAACTGTAATGACAACACATAGGCTTCTTACTTTGTTGATATCAGACATTTCAAACATATTCTCAACAACAAAAAATAATATAAATGTTTTTGTTTTAAAAATATTCAACCATCTGTTTCTTTATGAAAGGATATGCCCATCACCCTTCCACACAGGAGCTGAGAATAGATAAGGGGAGGTAACTCTACACTATTTGTGAAGCTGCAGGAAATGGAGCATTATTCTCCTGATGCATGGATTTATACATATCCTTCAAAGCTCACCTTTGGAGGGTTGCACTGAATGACGAGATCTACGAGGGGGATGTCCAAACCTCGTGCAGCCACATTCGTGGTGATGAGACACTTGTACTTTCCTTCCTTGAAACTCTGCACATTAAAAACAGAAAGGCTTAAACCAGCTGATCATCATCCAAATTAACTAGTATCACTTACAGTTTTTCAGCATAATTATCAACACAGGAAAATTTGTGTTGTGAGAACATTTGGCTCAGAAAGTATTGAGGATCTATTAAGGCACTATGTCAGCAGAGATCAGATAGGGCAAGTCCCAATCATCATCGCCAATGTTCTGATATACATACATAACATGATATATTGCTGCAGAGTTCTTTAGGAGTGAGTGAGGTTTCAAACAATTCCAGCAATTCAATGGCAGAGATAACACAACATGTGCTTCTCACAGTGAACCCACGTGGGCGAACTGAGTATGGTTTTAACAACCAAACACTAAAAGCACAAGGCAAACCCACCATCCAAGCTTCTGACAAAGACAAAACATTAAAAACAAAACAAACCCTAGCATATTACTGACTGCTCCACTGAAAAGACTCTAAAGGTCTTGTCATAAACCTTGTTAAAAGAAGACTTACCGATGCACTTGTCAATTGCGAAATGCTTCATTTTAAATACTAAAGAATACTAAATATGCAAAGGGCTGAGCAAGAATGACGTACCGCCAAGACCAGCTCGCGTTTCTCCTGTGGAATGTCTCCGTGGAGGACGTGGCAGTCAACTTTGATGCTGGGACTGCAGGCCAGCTCATCTGCATCCTTCTTGGTCTCGCAGAACACCATGGCAGCGGCCGTGGTTACCACTGTACACCTGGATGATGTCGCCGATCGTCCCTGCCCTGTCATGGTATGAACACTTGATGGCCATGTGCTGGAAACAGAACCACACACAGGAGTGAGTTGGGTTTAACACTCCTTTGAAATGCAATCCAGTTATATCAAAGCCTGTCTGCTTAATGTGGGAAGAAACCCTTAAGTGATGCGACCTGTTTTTCACTGGCACTGAAAAATCTAACAACAATCACATTTCAATCAAGTCTATAAGCTGAGTGTCCTTTCCAGACGAGTGCTTTATCCCAGTACCACCAATCTATTACTACTCCGAACATCACTGCACGTGGTGAAATAGGTCGCTATTCATTGAAGGTTAATACTTACTACAAAATTGTGGAAATACTGGACCAGGTTAATGAGTCAAGATAAGAATATTATTTTGTATAAAGTATATAAATATCAGTATCGTTTAGCTGAAAAGAATCTTGATGGTTGGGCTTTGAGAGTTAAAAAACTTCTCTTCAGCTATGGTTTTGAAATGTTTGGGTTGATCAACAAATTACAAATGTAAACAATTTCCTTATACAATTTAAGCAGAGGTGTATTGATATTGATCTTCAAACGTGGGCTTCAGATCTTGAAAAATATACTAAACTAGATTTTTTCAGACGGATTAACAATGACTGTGTCATGAAATACACAATGCCATTTTAGAAAGTGGTCAAATGCAACATATGTCATATTTGGGACATTTTTTGTCATAGACAGGCTCAATACCTTTCCACATTTTGTGGAAGCAGCGCGGTTGTATACTTTTCCTGTGCTGGCGATTAGGTGCCTGACTCTGAGGGTAGGTTCGAATCGGATGGGACTCAAACCAAAAGTACTAGAATCTGTACTTTACTAAGAAAGTGTAATCCCAAATATGACATATGTTGCAATGACTGTGTCAGAAGAATATTAGTAAAATCTAAATATTTTTTATATTTGTATACTTATCCTGCACTACTTAGTTCCTGCACTTATTGCTTACGACTCGAAACGTGGCTGTGCCAGACGATTGATGTTGAAAGTGTAGACTGCGATCACTTCCTTGTCTCGGGTAAACATCCGTCTGCGCACGCATCACCAGAAGGTGACGTCAGCCACCTCTAATTATTGCCATAAATCCCACAGATGAATACAAAGAAGGGAGGTAGCTGAAAGCGCAGGGTTGGCCCTTATCATAAATAGTGCAGGATAAGTATACAAATATAAAAAATGTTTAGATTTTACTAACTAATCCTGCACTACTTACTTCCTGCACATTTATCGGACAGGCAGGATGGAGGGCGTGTCATCTGTGGGGATCGCCTCGCAAGGTAAACAAAGACAGCTCGGTCAATGTCATCAAGTGCGCCATGGTGGTGGAAAAACCTGTGTGGCACCTAAAGCGGACAGCGAGTGACGATCAGGCAGTGGTAATATGCATATATAAGACACGTAGTCTTAAATGGTATATACCACATGATTTTTGAAGCGTTATAAGCTTTAGGGAAATGCAGTAAAAAGCAGTGACTCGAGTTAACCCAAGTGTTACTCCTTAACTGACAGACCCAGTTGTTCCAGGACAACTCTCTTCCCACACGGCGTCGGCGTGCTTCATGGGAAGAAAAAGCATGGTGGAAGCTATCTTCGTTGCACCTGGAAGAATAGTCAACAACAGTGACTATCTCTCAGTGGTAATTCGCATATAAGACATGTAGGCTTAAATGGAAAGCGAGATTAGCTTTAAGGAAATGCAGTAAAAAGTATTGACTTGAGTGTTACTCCTTAACTGACATACCCAGTTGTTTCCCTCGGAACAACTCTTTTCCCACACGGCGTCATCGTGCTTCATGGGAAGAAATATCATGAAGGAAGGCACCTTGAATAATGGTAGTCCGTATCCACAAAACACTCGTGGTTTTGCTTATATGTCTCTGACGGCTTGGGTGCGCTTAATGTACAAACTGAGTACATCAGCTCAACACAAAAGTAACACAGGAACCGTCAACGCCGACAACAAACGATAAAGGCGAAAAAGAGAACTATCGATCATTTCGCTCTGGCAACTGGGTTATAGTGATGAAATCCCAATCAAATACCCAGAGGCACAGAACCATGACGGTGTCGTTCAAACTTGACCCAATTAACACCAAGCGCACGACCCTTGAAGCTATCGCTGTGCAAGTCTGCAAGGTAAGTGTTCATGAGTGGCTTGCAAGACAACGCGTAGGCGGTCCAAGACAGTGTTGAGATTCCTGGCAGGTGGTCAAAACTGCAGCTTGGGTACTCAAGCACTAAACAAGCAAAGCGAAGCTCCTCTCAATGGGGACTGCCAAAACGAAGGGAATTGCCACTAACAGAAGTGGCAACCATGCCCCTTTTGAAACGCCTTCCCTGCAAAAATACAGCACGGAGACTGCTAAAACAGGAGGGATACATGCAGCGGATCCCGCTTCGCGGCAACACAACTACTCGAACGACTGCCACTTGTTATACATGTGCCTAATGGAAGTCCAATGTTCATTAGCAAAGCAGTAACAATGCTCTGGCTGAAAAGCAATTGGCGCAGAATGCCGCCTGAAGATGCAGTGTGTTAATTGAACCGTTCTGGCGTGGGATGAGGATGCACTAGGATGTTTCCACATCTGGCTAGTTGAAGAGGAGCTCTTGATGCTTGAAACCAACCTCTGGTTGGTCATCTGGGACCAACTAAATTTAGTCGAAGTCAAGTTGTTAATTCTTGATTGTGATTGTGATTCCAAAACATTTGGAAGCAAGACCGGAGGAAACTGACCATTCGGAGATGGAGACACATAAACCGGTATCTCTTTGTGTAGCATACATTCTGTGAAAGCGACTGTCAGATCCCAATATAGCGTCCGCTAAGATGTACCCGCACCCAGGAATATGCTGAGTGCTCAGATGGATATGGGTGTCAGCTATTACTGGAAACAGACGGAACGTCTGGAAACAGTAACCCAGTCAAACTCTCGTTAAACCCCACAACAATCGTGTTGCCCATTAGCTATTGCGCCCAGTGACGGATGATGAGGAACACTGCCTTGAGCTCCAAACTGCTTATTGATCTCACGGCCGAAAACCTGAGGTTATCAGATCTAGTAAGTGCATGGGCGCCTCAATTCTGCATGGAGGCGCCGACTAAAACGTATGTAGTTCGGAACTCGCTCAGTCAAGGTGACTCCACCTATGACATCTAAGGGCGAGTCCACTAAAAGGAAAAAAACCCCGAGGTAAGTGAGACAGGAGGCCGACACGTTGACAAACGTCCGCCTGTCATTCCCGGGTGGACACATGCAAATTACGCAATTTGGCGGAGAGCCGACGTGAAAGCACCAAATTATCACTGTTGCTGCGCTAAGCAGGTACTCCCGGTCGAAGGTAAACCTTGGAACCCGGCACATCGTAGAGGCAGAACTATGAAGAGCCGGAACTCACGTGTCCATATGTTGTGCACTCGTCACCAATGTACGGGTGTTTGGATAATACGGGGGCCTAGTGGATGAGGGAGTGTCAAATCATGTGGATCTTGAACTTTTTTTTTTGCTTTTTGCCCCTGCTTCCGTCACCCTTGAAGGGGACGCAGCTACGTTCATATCCTCTCTAGTTGATGTGAGACTTGTCACCACGTCTCCTACCATGCACGACGCCTGATTCCAAGCCAACCTAACAGTGTGGCGTCGAGGCTATAGTAGGTACTGGATTCATGTGATGAGGGATGTTTGACTTGCTGGAAGGCCGTCAACGCTATCTCTATGTGAGTAAAGTCAAACACTGTTCGATAGACGTCCTTGAACTCGTTATTAAAGATGGCAGTCGAGGACTAGGATTGGTGAAATAGATTCCTCGGAAGCTTTGAATCCTAACCGGAAAATCCTTGACCTCAAATAACACCTGCGTTGGCGAGAACTGCCTGTAAGTGTTCGCCAAGGACAGTGAGGACCATCCACTACCAAGCCATCATGCATATAGAAGAGTGGTGACGATCCTGTACGGATTCATCTCTGTCAGGTCTCGAGAGACAGTGTTAATAGTCGAAACTAACTTGAGATAGGAAGGAGCATCCGTGTGGATTCCAAATCAAGGGCTGTCATCCCTTGAGTCTCGTGCCTTGTAAGAAGAAACACTGTCACACGCTTAATTTCCTCATCCACCTGGGCTGCCCTATTGATGAATTCAAGACAAGGGAGTGCGTAAACGCCACGCCTGGTATAGGTACCATATTAGTTGGAAGTCTTCGAGGGCAAGATGTGTCCGTCTGCCGACGTAGAGGTCAGCAGAGACAGTGGCACAACAAACAGCTGCCGAACTCTTGAAGATGTGGAGGCGCTGACGCAGTAAGTTACTACATATAGATGCACAATCTGGTATAGGCGCCTGAGTGAGTATGATTTTATAGGCCACTCACTATGATGTTATAGGCTCTAGATCCAGTAGAGTCGCTGTACAGGCGCTGGATCTGGTAGAACGCTGGACAGGCGCTGGAGTGAGCAAGTGAGTATGGTGTTATACAAGCGCAGAATCTGGTAGAAATGCCGGACAGGCGCTGGAGGGAGTATGGTTTATAGGCGTCATACAAGGGCTGGATCTGGTAGATATGCCATACAGGCGCTGGAGGGAGTAAGGATGGCTTTACAAGCTCCGTACATGCGCTGGATCAGGTAGATGCATCATACATTCCCTGTAGACAGGAACGACGCTGGAACAGGTTGGTGTTGCGACGGAGGCGCTAACACCGACTGCAGAACGCCGAGGTCGTAGTCGATGTGGAAGAAGCGCCGTATAGGCGCTGCAGTGATGAACAGCAGAGGCGCTGTTGTACCAGACTGCCCTGCTAACTAGGTCAAGTCAAATGGGAGTCGAAACATCCAGTGACTGCTAAGAAGGCGCATGCATCTGAGGCATCAGGAGGAAGACGTCTGCCAAGTACACGCTGGAAACAGCAACCCGGAGAAAGGAGACGGGGGCCAGACGCCCTAGAGCTAGAGGACATCAGTGTTGTGGCAAGTATCTGGATGCTTGTCACAGGCGACGTCGGTATTGGACCTGGTGCTTCCAAAAAAAGGTGTTATATTAATTAAGTAAGCGCAACTAGCACATTACTTGTGTGAAAAAACACGGAAAAATGCAATTCACACAGTGTGAATGAGGGCACTTATGAGATACCCCGCCTTACAAACTATACAGCGTGTGCCGTGTAGAAACTGCAACATAGCAGAAAACCCCAGCAAACACACGGTGAAAAACATTACAATAGTAATGGGGAACACATGGTGAAACAATATAATAGTAACGGGGTAGAACAGCATAAATGAGAACAATGTCTCACAAAATACTGACATAAACTGGAGACCAGAATTAAGGCTTAATAATAATATACGCTGATAGTATAACATATAAGCATGAGCCAAGAACAAGCCACTACGAATACATCGAAGCCACGTGTTCTGAATGGCGAAGTGACCGATAATAGTGATGAAACTACCGTGTTGATAACAAACACCATCACTACAACGGTACTACGAAAAACGAAACAGAAAGGTAATACCTACACTCTCTGAAGAACAAAGGAAAGTACCCAAAAGACAGTTTATTACCAATAAACACAAATTCATAGGATACAAAACAGTCGAGCTGGCAAACCACATGTCTTGCGAGGCGTGCGAAATGCAAAATCTTAGGTGGCTGACGTCACCTTCCGGTGATGCATGCGCAGACCAGGAAGTGATCGCAGTCTACACTTTTCAACATCAATCGTCTGGCACAGACACGTTTCGAGTGCAGGATTAGTTAAAAATTTACACTAGTGCTGTAAATGTGAAGGTCTTTTGTATTGCCCTCTGTAGATTTCGCTGTTCAAATCATAAGTTAATGATTGAATATGGAAGACGTTTAAATCTTGCACGCAACGAACGTTTGTGTCCCTTGTGTGTTATTCCTATGATCGAATCTGAACACCATTTTTGCCTTGTATGTCCATTCTATCACGATCTGAGAGCATCTCTCATATCACGTTTTTATCATGTATACCCTTCTGAAAACAAGCTAGCCCTACTGTTTACTTCTCAAAATAATACTGTTATAAACAACCTTGCTAAATATATTTTTAGCTATGAAATATTTTGCATCCTGCTGATCTTGTGTTCACTTCTCTTTACAATTATACCTCTATGTCCATTCCGTCACTTTTATGGCTCCTCATGTCATATCTTGAATCCTCCTGACATGTATGTGTATAAAGGACCAGTGGCCCCCTTACTGAACAAACATAACACCAATCACAGCCCAGTGTCATACATACATATATCTGCACTACTTTGATCCTGAACTGGTCTCACCTGCACTGTTGTGGCTGTTTTGTTGGTTTGTTTGCCGATCAGATCAACTTTCTTCACATCGTTCCGCATGTACTTGTTGGCGGTCTCCCTCACCCATGGCGGAAGGGTGGCCGAGAACAGCAAGGTCTGAGGGTGATTACTCTCCTTCTCTGAAAAAACAAAACATTTCATGTTGAGACCAACAATTTTACAACCAAATGAACAATGCTCTTCAGGGAAAGTCTACCGCAAGGGAGGCAACTCCCTTACAGTGAAAACTGTAATAGTGTTTGATGACACTGTCAGTGTTGCTAAAGACTGGAGGGAGATAACTCTCACAGCTGAAGTGTAATGTTTCCATTCTAAGAATTCTTTCACGATCTGTGTAGCTATTTCTTTCAGACCAACAGAAATTTCTGTAACCACGTAAATTAAAATCATACTGTTGAAATACATGTCTAGAATGACAGTGCAAGTTGTGTTTGTTTCATGGCACAAAATCTTTAAAATAGTTCTGTTTGTCAGCAATATTCCAGCTGAATAATATCCAACGCGAATGTGGTTGAAGACCTCTCTCGATGGTGTACCTCTCTCGTATGCTCCCTTGAGGATCTCCTCCACTGACTGCACGAAGCCCATGTCAAGCATCTGGTCTACCTCATCCAGCACTACATGCTTGATCTTGTTCAGCTTGAGGTTCTCTTTCTGTACGTGGTCCAACACTCGCCCAGGCGTCCCTACCACCACGTCCACACCGTTCTGCATCACACGCTCTGGGGACACCAAAACAGTCTCCATAGCAACAAGAACACAGCTTTCATGGACAGAGCATCTTAAATTACTTTTAGCATATGACATTTTACACATGAATATCTAAAATTAACCCCAACAACTCTTGAGCATATACAGCACAAACATTTAGCTTGTTAATACAAAACAAGTCCTTTCTAAACTGTGGGCTCAAAACATGCCGCTTCTCTCAATATATAGGTTTAAGTAGAACTCTGTTATGGTGGAATGGAGAAAACATACTGTGTTTCCAATTCAGAGCCAGGTGCCCTGAGACTCAGCTTCACTAAACTCTGCTAAATTGAAGACTTTGTTGTACATTTGATTTCAAATTCGATTTAGTGCTGAATAACCTTTTGGTAACCTAGCTATACATCATGCCCAATGAAACAACAATAAGTTTATCTCCTAGGTGTTTTCTAATGTCCTACACAAAATACTACTATTACCACCAAGCAAAATCATAAGCAACACACTTAATCTTTCCAAAGGTGTATTTTTCTTACCCTGAGGGCCGTAAGGAGTTCCTCCGTATATTACAAGGATCTCAAGACTTTCAGAGACTGCCTTGAAGTCATCATGAACCTGCTTGGCTAGTTCTCTTGTTGGGGTCAGTACCAGAACCTTGGTAAACAAAACAATTCTAAGATCAACAACAATGTAGAGGTTTTATGGTTGGTTGGGTTGTTGTTTAATGCCGCACTCAGTAGTATTCCAGCTATATAGAATTGAGTCTGGACCAGACAATCCAGTGATAGACAGCATGAGCATCATCCACACAATTGGGATACGATAACGTGTGTGAACCAAGACAGCCTGACCACCCGATCCCGCTAGTCGCCTCCTACGACAAGCATGGGTTACTTAAGACCAATTCAAACCTGGATCTTCATGGGTCAAGAGGTTTTACGAATAAAGGGGAACAGCTGTGTTACACCAAAAGTATTTTACAGCACCAATGTCCAGCATATTTATCTCTGCAACAAGATACTGTTTACTGTTTGACACACACCAATGTTTCGGCTACAACATGTAGAAGACAGTATCCTGCAATCTCGATCAGGCAGACCAGTAACAGACACAATCAGCAAATGATACAAAGCAGAGGAACAATACATACTGTAAAACCAATCCATTTAGTTGCCTCTTTATGACAGCAGGGATAGGTTTCTGGGGACCAACATTCTCAGACATTCACCGGTGATCATGGTGTTCAGAGTTTGTAACACTAGTTTGTAGATAAACATGCTTGAACAAGACAAGCATGTCTAGAATGCTTACATTTTCAGTCAGTTTTATTGGGGTTCAGTTCATACCATAATAGAAGTATTGAGAACTTGAAGAGAATTATAGCCCCAAAAAGCTACAAATAACCTATACCATCCCTTCCATGGCAGAACTTCTGGTGAGCGAGTTTAGTTTTAAAATATTCCAGCAAAATCATGGTGAGGGACACTATAAAGTAGCTTCATACATTGTACCCATGTGGGGAATCGGACGTGAGTCTTCACTGTGACGAGCTGAACAGTTAACGACTGGGCTACCCCACCGAAAACAAAGGCTAGGGATCTCTGGGTACAAGACTCACCTTTGGGCTCCTACCATGCTTCAGTTTCTTTTCACTTCTCTGAAGCTTCTCAACCAGAGGTAGGGAAAACGAGAGCTGGAGAAAAAGACATTATAACAATAATTAGGGATCTGTTTAAAATAATTCCTGTAGCATTTTATAAAAATATACTACTTGATGACATGAATAATTACTGTTTTTATTAATGTTTTAACATTAATCATTGTCAGAGTATGGTGAGGTGAGGTAAAATGGGGTTTAACATCATACTGAAGAATATTTTGCTCATATGACGATATGCATGTGTGTGTGTATGTGTGGCTGCTTGTACTAGCCCAGACTTAAGCTGGTATATAGTGCTAGCCCACTGACATACCCTGCTGCACTTAAGCATGAAAACCCCACACAGACACAGTACACTGACTCTGAGCCAACTGGTCCTTGTTGCACCTACTAATGCCAAACGACAGGAATTGAAACCGCAATCTTCCATTCTCCGGGTGGATGCTCTAACCACTACACCACGGAGACGGCCTTGTCAGGGTGAAATGTTTACTGAATGGTTGATAACAGTGGTGTGTGTGGGGGGACATTTGCTGCATTCTCACAAATGTTGTAACAATGTGAACCAGATGAGCATAGAGATACTTACAGTTTTACCTGTGCCAGTCCCTGCAAATAGACAAAATGTAATTTACCACCAATTATAAATACCAAGACCATTACCATTCTTGTACTACTTGTGTTGGAAAACCAGAATCTCTTACTCTTCATATACTCAAGTGATGCACTACGCAGGCAGACATCACTGCTAAACATGGACACAACCATGACTTAACTTTGTGTGACTGTAATTTGAGTGAATGTGGTTTTATGCAACATGATATACAGTCTAATCCTGATGAGTCAAATCGCTGGGGACCAAGTAATACATTCGACTTATCGATGTATTCGAGACATAGGTATGTCTATGAGGGTAGAAAAAAAGATGATCCCGTCCTAATTCCTCCACCTAAGCATTTGTTTACCTAATGATTTCCTTATCACTAATAGAGGCACCTTATCAGTTCCAGTCTGATTAGCACAGACAGTGATTTCCGTAAAATCACTAATCTGCCTTTTGAACTCACCTGTCAATGGCGGAAAGGTGTGAGCCGCGCTGGGTTGTTAATTGGATCAGTCTGCTACACCAATCAACTTCTCATTGACTGACTTCGGCTTATGTATACAAGATTGCTGTTGTTTGAATTTCATGGGACCAAATTTCCTTCTCGAGTCATCGTGTGTATTTATGAGACGAATTTGTGTAACCGGTATTCAAATGATGACAACTATAACAAGGAATGGTCGGGACCGACAGGTACTTCGAGTTATGCATAACATTCGAGACACCGGCATTCGACTCATCGGGATTTGACTGAACATGCTGACATAACAAAATGTATAGTGACTTAATAAACTGTATACAGGGGAGAGAATCCCTCATAAGTGTGTTAACCTGTGCCAGTGTTTAGATCATATCAGTGGAGTGTTCATAATAAAACTTGGTCCATAAAACCTGTCAAATTAGAACAAAATGTTCTGATTTTTTCAGGAAACAGGAATTGGTTTTGAATCTCTTAACAGAGGGGTGTTAATGTAATCTGGGCAAGACAGAACAAAGATGCACCGGTCAATCATATGAAGAAAGTTGCTGGGGGTACGAACTACAATAACAGTCAGGTCGGGTTAACGACACAATCATCATAAGCTAGCTTCAATACACTGGAAAATCAGCTCCAGAAACCCTGCAATAACATGACTAGTAAAATTACCACCTACAGATGGTGGTATACACCACTGATCAGACTGTCTACTCACTGGCTTGAGCTATTACATCGCCGCCATCAAACACGGTGTCAAATGTTTCATACTGGACAGGAAACAGGTAGCTTATACCCTTGGCTGCAATAAATATGGAATCAGTGGATATGAGAAACAAAGGCTTGAGCTCAAACAGAAACATAAGGTGTACTTGTACAAATTACAGGCACAAAAGCTGTGACCACATAAAATGATATACATATGTAAAATAATGTTATTTTATATATAAAGAATACGGCACACAGGTCAAGATTCCTTATAGACATAGATCAAGTGCTTGTGAAAATTGCAGAAGATATTGATGGACAAGGCAAAATGAAACTCTAAACAATGTCGGGAGTTACCTCCCTTTTGACAAACATTTGGCATCACAATTGGTCCTGTCAGGACACAAAATTGTATGTTTAAAGTACATTCATCACAACCCCATTTATGTTCCTTGCTCATCTTGTACAGTAATGTTAGTATGATGTGTGACAGCAGATTGTAAAGGAGATATATTGCAGCTCAACTGCTTCCTTCAGACTGTTCAACGTAAAAGGATTACCATTCAGTTTTTCAATAGTGCCAGGAGATATTCTGAAGTTTGTAAATGCCCCCAACTTGACGTCAGGGTCTTCCTCTGCCTCTTCTGACTGTTTCTCATCCTCATTCTCATTGGTAGATTTCTTTGCCTTCTACAATACACAATCACACTGTAATGATAAACAAACAGAAATAAATGAAAAGTCAAGATCACTTAAATAATTGTTTCATGAGAAGATTCATTGTGAAATACCATCTGTAAAGTGATGTAGACACAAGAGTTAAGTCACTTTGATATGACATGTTTGTTTGATGTTTTGGTGGGAAAATGAATTGTGACTGGAGTATACACTTGTTTTTTAGAACAAATCAAAATCAAAGAAAATTTGGAGAAAAAAACCCAACTGCTTGTTTACCTTCTCCTTCTTTTTCTTGATCTTGATCGGTGATGCATCTGCACCTGATGAAAAACAAATTCTTTTGTAGAAATATTAAGTTAACAGGATTTACAGTCAATTGTAGAGAACAATATTTGGTTTTACTACACTTCTCTGGGGCCTTTTTTTTCAACCTGGGACCTGTAGAGTAGGTGCTCCAGGTCCCTGGATATCAATAGGAATCAATATTTCACTCAAGGAGTTCAGTTATTTATCAGGTTAATTTTGCTTACACATCCATGATCCAATAATAATAATAGGACCACTCGAACTTTCTTTGCTGCAAACTATTTATAATCTGTAAAACAGGAACTAAAGAACATTCAGTAATCACTAATCAGTAATCCCATTGCTAGCATACCGATAACCTGTCTAGCAGGAATGTATTCAAACATGACAAAAAAGAAAATAAAGGACGATGTTAAAGCTTTCTTACAGTGTTTCCATTCTCTGGTTTATACCAGATTTTGATCTTTAACAATTGCCCAGGACCAATAAATTTGGTGGCTATCAGTCACAGGGTCCCGAAAAATACCCAAACTACTTTTTGTCCTGCTTAAAATCTCTGAAGTAATCCTTTAATAATAGAATTGGCCTCTTACGATTTTTGTGTGAGATGAGGTTTCCTTCTAAATACATTATGCTATGTGCAATGGGATTGGTCAGTTTGGCAGTCTTTCGGAAATGACAGATGTATTTTGTACCTTGAAACGTTACTATAATCACTGCTGTCACGGAAAATAACAAAGTTATCCAATTGTACACATACCATGTGTTTGTCTAAATGTCAAGCAGACAGCAGAGGGCGCTTTCCATTTTTTCAAAGGTTTCAGTTATTGAGGATGACGAAACCAACAACAGTAAGGGGCAAAATAATTATTCAAGTTCAAGTTGCAATCCGCCTTCAAAAGTAAAGCCTATTAAATTACAGAAATTTAATTCGGACTGGATACCTGAATTTAAATGGCTCCAATACGATGAAGACAACAGAACTATCATATTTTGTGCAGGACCAGTAAAAAAGGTCATCGGACACAGTGACCGGCTGTTAATAAACCCAGTGGAAACACTGACTTAGCATATAAATCAAAACATCAAACTTCTTCATCGTGTCCTGTTAAATGATGGCAAAGACAAACAGCTGTAGTGTGTGTTAAGCATCTCTTTGGAAAAGGTTCATGGTGTTTTCACAGCTGGTCCATTCATATTTTCTTACCATTCTCTGCTACGTCCACCTCCATACTATTAGCATCTCCATTTTCAACCTGTTCTTCGGTTTTTTCAGATTTCTTGGACTTCTGAAATGTAATGGAAGATGCATGGTCAACATGTTTTGTACTGTTTAAGTTCTGATTTCAGCCTTATTTTAAAACAGGGTTTTATGTTAGGTTTAGGGTTAGGATAGGCTTTCTATAAAAACCATCTATTCTTACTATAAACTATAAATCTTAGGCACAGAATGATAATAAAACGGGGGTTACGGGTGGAAATCTTTCCGGGATTTATCTCGAACCAATATATAAAATGCCGCTGAAGGGGTCGTTGTCGGCACAGGTACTACAGATACGTACCCCAGGTTCGTTTCGGAAAGAGTTACGCCCGTACCCCCCAGGTGTCATGGCGTCTTTCGTGGATGCAGTATAGTCTTCTATTCCCAGAGGTTGTTTCAGATGTGTTAAATAATCGTATTATTTTGCTAACACATTATTGAATGTTGGTTGGATTTTAGTATAATCCTACAACTGTCATTGTGTTTTAATCATATTTTAGAAGGGGGGGTACGGAACTCTTTCCCGAGTCTATAATCCCCAATCAAAAACCGAAACCGTATGCAGTTGTTCCCGTTCAACTGATTCCGAGTGGTATTCATGGGCATCGGGAAATATCCGTTACTGTGTATTCTCATTACTTACATAACACAATCAAATGTATCTAATACAACAGTATGACAGTTCTGATCAAGAATACAACACAATGGGAATGGAATCGTCCTAGGGTGCGTTGCTGTATTCTCATTATGGCCAGGGTACGTTTCTAACGTACCTGCGGTACATATCTGTAGTACCCGTGCCGACAACGACCCCTTCAGCTAAAATGCCATCTCCACTTTCTCATAGTTACTGAATTGTGGTTGATATTTGTAATTCTAGAATGTATCGTGGTATTGATATTTCACAAATAAATCCAAAAATGACTGGAAAGCGGTTGATCAAAAGATAACATGTGATACATCACACAAAAACATGACCACGTGGCTGACGATTTCCACTTAACATAAGTTATGAATGGCGTGAAACCAACAGTGACAAGTAGGACGTCCCCTATGATTAACATCGGGTAAAGTGACGAACGTTGTATACAATCTAATACAAGTGTGGTAAAACTGATGTTTGAGACAAGGATCACTGTATCCAGCATGTGGACAGCCAGGTCAGTTCTTTTCTCAGTTTACAAATGTATTGCCGTTGCTACAAACATCCCTGTCACGTAAAATGTATACAGTCAGACTTACCTTATCCTTTTTCGTTTTATCTTTCTTAGCCATAGTGTCTGTTGAATCAGATTCCGGTATAGAAAATTTCATTTCTCTAAGAGAGATCTGTGAACGAGCCGAGTCTCACAAATGTGGTTCCCACGTGGTGAGTCTGCAATATCCGGTTTGTAGGTGGCGCTTTCAATTCAAGGGACGTTACTCAACCTGAAAGCCCCAGAACTGCTTTCCATTCAGTTCACCTGGCCGTGTGAAAAAAGAGAAGAAAGAAATGGAAAACAAATACAAAAAATACGAAATGTTTAGCAAAAGCTCCGCCTTGAAATATATCATTTAATAAGTATTTTCACTGAACATTAAAGTATGGTGGTGTTTGTTGGCAAGGAACGCAGAACTTGCAAACTTACCTGGAAGGGGTCATGCAGATGTACCAGATCCCAAACCTCTGAGATAGGGAAACGTTGGAGAACCCATTGGATTTTCAGGGCCCCTTTTACTGAATTATGCCAATTATACCTGGCAGCATAGGAAAAACATATGTTTGCCACTGATATGGCAGTGTACCCCGCCGCTAAAGAATGGAATATCTATATTTACTACTTTTTATTTTTTTGGTCACATAAAAGATGCCTGAAATGACTGGTGTCTGCATAATCACCCAATGCAGGCTGTCAACATAACTGAAAACATAGGGTGCAATGTTTGTATGAGATATCGCGTTTAAATAAGTTTGAAAAGCGGTCAAAGTGTCGTGGTGACCTTGACGATAAGGCCAAGGTCACCCAAGTAAACTGGTGTCTGCGTAATCCCCAATGTAGGCTGTCACCAAATTTGAAGACATTGGGTACAACAGTCCATGAGATGTCGCGTTAACAAGAGTTTGAAAAGTGTTCAAAGTGTCGTGGTGACCTTGAAGATAAGGTCAAGGTCACCAAATCAACTGGTGTCTGGGTAATCCCCCAATGTAGGCTGTCACCAAATTTGAAAACATTGGGTACACCAGTCCATGAGATGTCGCGTTAACAAGCGTTTGAAAAGTGTTCAAAGTGTCGTAGTGACCTTGAAGATAAGGTCAAGGTCACCAAAATAAACTGGTGTCTGCGTAATCCCCCAATGTAGGTTGTCACCAAATTTGAAGATATTGGGTACAACAGTTCATGAGATATCGCGTTAACAAGAATCGTGACGTACGTACGGACGGACGGACGCCGCTGAATACATAGTCCCCCGTTCCGCGTTGCGGCGGGGGGACAACAACAGCAACAACGGCGTGCTCTTTTACAGCAGACCGTTGCTCAAAGAATAGAGTTCGTTATCCATTAATTGAAGTATATGGTATCCTAAACTGACAGCTGACATACATTATGCAACACTGTGCTGCAAGTGCATCTAAATATTGTTTGATTAGAGTGACTGTAATCGAGAAAAATGCTTTTTCACATCCATCGCAGTTTGCATATCATACCAGCTTAACGTTGTTAGAAAAAGAATACAATTTGTCTTAATTTTTTTCTTGAGAGTAGTATGACACAGATGATCAAACCGAAGGATCAGATAGCCACGGGTCATCTGCTGGCTCACTGTATCGTTGTTCACCTTGTCCATTACAAGACAGTCTTGTCCTAGCTTGATCTAATGTCTGTAGTGATGTGGTTGGAGTACTGGGACTACCGGTACATTCACTCACTACTGGTATTTCTAACGTTTGTCTATCCTCATTGATTTTTGATAGGGATGACATTCTGCTTGGATATGTTGTCATAAGAACAGTGTTAATTGCCACTGCACTGACTTTTTGTGTGTGTTTTATTCAAAACTTAAATATATATAAATATATATTTTGTCAACTCACCTAATTTTGTAACAATGTGACGTGGAGCTTTATCTCCATCAAACAGGTTAGGTGTATAGTTTTTCTTCTAATAATACATATTTACTTTGTATTATTTGTTTTTTGTCTCGTATTGTTGTGAACAAATTCATACAGTACATGGACTTACTCTAAACCGACATCCCTCTAATCCGACATATTTATTTGTACGTTTTTGTGCAGATATCGCCTAATTTGTTAAGTTTTACAAAATGTGTCGGAAACTGTAAGCAGAGACCATGTATTATATGGTCTCTGCTGTAAGCAAAGGTTAAAATTAATACAAACATGCGTTCTTTTATGCCATACTGGCCTCAACCTTATCTCTTGAATTTCATTCAGATGAAATCACAGTCCAAAGAGCAAACATTGTCTTGACACACACCCATTGTGACATATGTTGTGACCCTCGTTATATTGGAAAACAAAGAAGGTTGTGAGGTCCTCATAACTGGATGTATGCGCAGACGCTTCTGTTCCAATCCGCGAAACGAGTCCCCCCTCACCTCATTCTAAGAGTTCTCGCTCTGTCGGAACAACCAATGGAATAGACCCCAGCTGTACGAGGTCTGAAAGTCGCAGTCAAACCGGAGACTGACACATGTCGCAGTTCAGTCTGGTTCCCTGATTTTGCTGCGCTGCCGCTAAACGGCTGTGGTGCCAGCGCAGCATAATCAGGGAACCAGGCTGCACATGGAGTACACTGTCAGGAAACATTCAAACTAATCAAAATCAACCATTCGCAGCGTGAATACGTGCTTGCCCGACCTCCCGGGACGGGTTATTTTCAACACGGACTGCCAGATTCTCAAATTCGACGGTCGGGTTAAAATTTAGACATGTATATGAAGATATTTTGTGGGCAGGTAAGTTTTGGTCAGGGCTTGCAAGTTTTACATCCAACCAGCCCTGTGGTCAGGCGTTTCGGAGTTTCATACCCTACCATTCGACTTAATCAGTCTCCTCTTATAAGACAAGCGAAGGTTGATGGCGATCTATTCTAGACGGGCGGGGCACGAATCACAAACGACATGTCCAGTATAATTTGTATTGGTCAGCAGAAATTAGATACACTCTTTTTCGTTTCGTAGTTACACAAATACGGCCCATTTTCCTTAAAAAAAACCCCTCTCATAAACACAATATCAGTTAGATCTAGGCTATGTAATCTGTAGCATATGAACAACACAACACTCTTTCCTAAACCAAACGTCATCCACCCACTCGTCTTAAACAAAGGTATGTATAAGCTACGTATCAGTTTATGCAATGGGGAAAGTGATAACAAAGCGAAACGACGAAACAAAAAGTGCCATTTTTCGAATACTGCATGGTAGTAGCGTTGGGACCCCACCCCCAAAAAAAGAAAAGAAAAAAAGCGTTCATTGTGAAGTCCTTAGCACATTTCATCATGTAACCATGTACACAACAGCTGTATCCAGATCCTCATGAAATACTTCTGTGTCACGTGACAGTGGTTCACAGAGCGATGTAATGTTTTAAGTGACGTCGGCAATATATCAGCATAACACGTATCAACGTATACTTCACAAGACGGTATACGATAAGGTCAAAGTTCGTGCAAATATCAGTGATTGTCAGTTAGGTGGTCTGTGGGGTCCGTGTTAGATTCCAGTTAAGGCGGTATATATAAAGGAAACTGATATTTATGCATCAAAGTTTACAAGTCCTTTATAAAGCGCTGTCAATGGAATATAACTGTATTTTATCCAAAGAATGACGTGGGTTTGTGCAACCACAAAAGCGTTGGAAGGGACAAGCACGTTTGGACAAGCAGTGTACAGTGTCCATTCACTTTTAGGCAATTCTCCAGGCTATGTAATACTCCTTGAATTTGTCGAACCCCGACAACACACCCGCCCCTGCCACGCCCCTCAATATATTAGCGCCAGCTCCTTTCATCAAAGACATAAAGCCTTCGTTCTTGATGATCTGGATGGTGCAGTCGATGGATCCTTTGTACTTGACCGCTTCTCCGGACGTCATCATCATGCGTCGTCGTATAGTATCGATAGGGTAGGACACGAGGCCAGAACTGATGGTGACTACATAGCCAAGCGCAAAGGAAGCGGCCAGGCTTGCATTCTCACCAAGCAGTATAGGCTTGAGGGTGTCGTAGAAGCCGAAGTAGCATCCTCTGTAGACAATGATTCCTACGCAAGAGATGACGAACCCTCGATAAAGGCCTACAAAACCATCCGACTTTATGGTTTTTCTATAAACGTCTACCAAGCCATTGAACTGACGTTCCGAAGCACCCTTCCCGGCAGCCTTTGCGTCGTTGGCCAGACGGGTACGAGCGTAATCGAGGGAATACACAAAACACAGCGACATGGCTCCTGCACAACCTCCTGACAAGACATTCATGCCGAATTTCGTGGCATAGGACGCGTCTTTGCGGGTTTTGAAGGTAGCCTTGATCTGGTCCTTGAAGGCGAAGTTGAGAGCCTGTGTTGGGAAGTATCTCAGGCAATTGGCCAAGTTCCCTCTCCAGAAGGGCAATATTCCTTCAGTACGAAAGGTTCTGGTGGTGCAGTCGATCACACCCTTGTATGGCTCCTTCAGCCGCCCGGCTTTTATCATCTCATCTTGGTTCTGAACTAGGAGTTTGACACGCTCGATCGGGGCGGCTGCTGTCTTGGAGATCACTGCGGCAGCGCCACTCAAGGCGAAGTTCTCGGCGAACCCCAACTTGTGAGACATCTGAAACAGAGAAAACAATTCGATGGTACAAGGGTATTACTGCAAGGTGATGGTGTTGATGTTGATGCTATCACCAATAGTGAAGCTGCGGCGACCTTTACACCTCGACCATGGGGCGGCGGAGTAGCCTAGTGGTTAAAGCGTTCGCTCGTCACGCCTACGGCCCAGGTTCGATTCCCCACATGGGTACAATGTGTGAAGCCCATTTTTTAGTGTCCCCCGCCGTGATATTGCCGGAATATTGCTACAAGCGGCGTAAAACCCAGGGCCTAGATTTTCGAAGCTCTCTTAGCGCGAAGATAGTCGTAAGTTAATGTTATTGAATGGCACTTACGACTATCTTAGCGCTAAGAGAGCTTCGAAAATCTAGGCTAGCTTACTTAGTAACTCACTAAAACTCGACCAGGCAGACCAGTCACTGAAAGCATGAGATACCTAGCTGGCACTCAATAAGCTCAGTAACAGGCTGCAAATGATCAGGGAGACTGTCCTCAACACTGGGATATGTGTCGAGTTTGGTTTTACTCCGCTTTCAGCAATATCACATTGTACTCATGTGACTCTTATTCGCGAGGCTACCAAACCTTATGAGCTAAAACGTCTTCTAAAATATGGTACTTGAAATACGTTTAACAAATTCAGATTATTTCATGAAGTAGAGTTACGCTATGTTGATATACCATGTGGCCAGTATTACACGATCTCTCAACAATACATTCTGTTACAAAACCAGTGGGCATGGCGGGGCGAAAGGTTAGAATATGAACGTTCTCTAGTATAAAATTCCATTTCAAAACTGATCATGATACTTCGAACAAATATGAAATCGTCCTCAAACATTTTCGAATTTCTTTATTTGGTCGAAATTGATTGTGAAATGCGATGACCTGATCAAGAAGTTCGTACCTAATTATAGCTATTAACAGTTTTAATTTTGTTTTTCACACGAAGTTACTACTTTTGAAGAAATTTGATAAAAGCCACTAACAGGTTGGTCATAACGATGTGAACAAGCCTTTGTGAATAATATGCACGACATTACCAGCAGATTTGAAGATGGTAACAGTGTTTTGGAGCATGATGAAAGTGCAAAGGTTAAAAAGGATTACTAGCAGTCATCTACTGGTATATCCATGTACGTTTTGAAGTTCAAATACACCATTGCCTGATAATCTATTTTCAGGAAGGCTCCTCCTAACAGTTTCACAAGAAATATTAATTTGATATTAAGAATGTCGCAAAATGACTGCCGTGGTAGTATTGATGCAGGTGCCCGGTGAAACTCAAGGCTATGATGCTGACAAACTAAGGATCAAAACAAAAGTCTCTGAATACAGAATCTGGATCGCTTCATCCTGGTACGCTCAAGGGACGTAACTGCGAGTTCCACATGTCTTACATGACTGGGACACCCCGGAACCGGAAAGAGTCATCACAGTGGGAACGGAACGTGTTCAGTGATATTCTTGAATATTAAATATACACATAAAACTATATTTATTACAACCTTAGTGAGTTACTCTCGTTTGTGAAAGGAAAATCACAATATATAGGTACCTTCGTGAATTCATATACATTTTGAATATCATAGTTATAGTTTATAGGTGAAATATTGATGAAATATTTGCAATATAACAATTCTATTGGTCAACGGCAGGTGGACTTTGAGGAAAACTTCCTCAAACTGAAGGATTCATTTGTGCACTCATTCTTTAGGACATGGTAACATCACGGACAAGGTGACCTGAAAATAACTATTACAGGCTAAAGCAACTTAGAGATCCTGGGTCCCGTTCAACAATGGGACCGTTGCTCTAAGATGACCGTTACTTACATACTTTGACGTAAGTCTGAGGGTAAGCCGTTTTCACGTTTATTAAGAAATTACTGATATCGTCAACTGTTTTAAAGATATCTGTATTCTATTTATAGATATCAATAAAGTTTTTAAGATATCGGTAAATAATGGAAGATATTGTAAACTAATTTCTGATATCCAAAATAGAAATACTGATATCGTAAACTTTAAGAAAGTGTCAAGAAAATATTTCATGATATCTCCAAATGTGTTAAAGATATCATTTAAACAATAACGATCATATTGTACACAATTATACTGGAAATTATTTCAAGGTATCTTCATTCAATTCGAGATATCTTGAAATAATTTATACACATCCACAAACGCATTACTGATATATTTATTTCAATTAGAGATATCTTGAAATAATTTACACACACCCACAAACGCATTACAGATATATTTGTTTCAAATAAAGATATCTTCAATTCAATTAGAGACATCTTTAAAGCAGTTAGACATATCTCCAATTCTGACCGTTACTGATATCTAAAATCAAATGTCACATTAAACATGAATGATCATGAAGGTTTTGCAGATACTTATCTTTATTTGAGATACCTTTAATTCATTTCAAGATATTTTCAGTTGAACTGAAGATATCTTTAATATTTTCTGAGAGAGAGAGAGAGAGAGAGAGAGAGAGAGAGAGATCACATGCAGACAATGCCTCTTTCACTCACACTACTGAGTGCAGTGTCTGAATTTATAGACTGAAACTTAGCACCAGACTGTCAACTAAGTAAGAATGCACCTTGAACTAACTGACTTCGATTTGCAAAAATGCTCATCGTGAAAAGGTACTCCATGTCAGAACAATTTCATGACATAACATGACCATTTCACATACTCTCACTGTACCTAACACTACCACATGACCTTGACCCTGACCTACGTTCATCCCAGAGTCATCTGTCAGCCCGGAAACTGGACAATTGTGTCAGGGATCCCCACACGAATACAAAGAACCAGCTTAACTCGTTTAACAGATTGTATTCCTACTATCTAAAGGGGTAAGGTACTTTCGGTTTAAGTCCACATGTTGTTTTACGCCACATTCAGCGATATTATCGGTATCATAGGCGGATCCAGAGGGGTGTGTGTGTGGGGGTGTGTGTGTGTGTGCACCCCCCTTTTGTGCTGAAAGTTTGTTAAATGACCATTGAAATTCGGGTGAAAATGAAGTGTGCACCCCCTCTATCTCAAAAAGCTGTATCCGCCCCTGGGTATAACAGATGGGTATGTTAACAATTCTGTGTTGATTAAACCGGTATTTCGTAGGACACGGGGGCAAATCAGCAGGACACATGTCACATGTACACGTTTCTCAACATGCCCTGGGGCGGCGGGATAGCCTAGTGGTTAAAACGTTCGCTCGTCACACTGAAGACCGGGTTCGATTCCCCACATAGGTACAATGTGTGAAGCCCATTTCTGGTGTCCCCGCGGTGATATTGCCAAAAGCGGCGTAAAACTAAACTCACTCACTCGTAAGACATGGATAAGGCCGTGGGGTACTGTGTCACACACTGGGGCATACAGGTTACATTGCAATAACATCTTCTACCATCACTCACAGAGGTGATCAACAGGACCAGAGGACAGACTGACTGCCTTAGACGTTGACTGTCACTGAAAATGGCGTTAATTCATATTCATGATGGTAATCATGCGATTTTCTGGTCCAGACTCGAGTTTATATATAGACTGCCCTCATATAACTACAATATTGGTCAGGGTACCGCGAAACAACAAATACTCAGACAAGAAAGCCGTTAACTTACTATAGAAGCATACAGGCCTAGGATTGTGAAACTGATACAAATCTGGAAATCTTTCTGAAATGGTGACTGAGTGAGTTGGGTTTTACGCCGTTTTTAGCAATGGTCCTGCAATATCACGGCGGGGGACACCAGAAATGGGCTTCACACATTGTACCCATATGGGGAATCGAACCCGGTCTTCGGGGAGACGAGCGAACGCTTTAACCACTAGGCTACCCCATCGCGCCTTTTTTCTGAAATGGAGTAACTATGCTTACCATGCCCACCCAATCTTAACATAGAGAAATAGCACACGTAATCGTGTGGATACATTTGGCATGACATTTCTTTGTTGCGGGAAATGGTTACTTAGGTTAGTATAACGATTAAACCTGTGGTTTATTGTATAGCGTATGCATGTGTTAGTATGATGTGACATATAGCCAGCTAGCGTAACTACCTCCCAGCCTGAATGCATGTCTAATGTCATTACCAATAAAGTAGATATACCGTGTTGTTCTACATTTGTCAAATAAATGAAATCCATAATAGTATTAGAACAAATTTAGACAGAACCACAATTATTTGTTTGATAAAAAAAATGTAAAGAAAGAAATTGTGACAGGTCCCTGTCCGATTTAGATGCATCACTCAGGACCACCTGTTGAATCATGCAGACCCTGTGGATTCTGGAGTCAAGCATTATCTTAGTAAGCTTGCACTTAGTCAAAGATTGGACATGTTTCATTGTTATTGTGTTAGTGTGTGTGTATATGTCTATATACATATGTGTGTCTCTCTCTCTATATATATATGACCTACTGTGTATAGCCTATTTAGAAACACGGAATGACAGATGTCCCTCCCCTGAAAAGTTTATATATGCCCCCCAGTTTTGTGCCATTTTCCAACCAGGCTAGATGTTGTTAATTAGTTGAAAGTGTGAAATTGACACAATGCCTGTGTGTATTTAATGTTACAGAGCAAACAGATTGATACAACTAACACAATTAGGGCTGTATATACTAACCCTATGAAAGAGCATGCTTTGACTGTATTTCCATGTATCTAATTTACAAATGATTGACACAACGACATGAATCTTTAATGACAATGGAAAACCAAAATACAAGCATTGTCACTAAGGTGACATAATCCCCCGCCGCAAATTATCAAATCAAACTTATAAAGTAATGAAAGTTAAATGTCAACAAAAACATGACCAGTCAACCTCTCTTGATGTCTTGCTCTTTAGGTGTTCAAACACACACATATTTTCAAGACTGACTTTGACATGAATGTCATAGTGTATGAAATATGCAAAAATAGAACTAAATAAATTGCTTTTTGAAAAACATTTAAGGGAAGTCTTGAAAGTCTTTGAAGAAGATCCAGTGAACTGTTTTTGAAATATCTTGCTGACAATTCAGGTTAACATGCTCAAATCTTCAAAGTGTCTCTGTGACCTTGAAAATTAAGTGAAGGTGACCAAAATCGACTGAGCCCTGCGCCTTCCCTAGATAAAGCTTTGTATTGAATATGAAGAAAATCCAATGAACGGTTCTTGAGATAGCTTAACATGCAGGTTTACATGCTGAAATCTTCAAAGTGTCTCTGTGACCTTGAAAATTAAGTGAAGGTCACCAAAATCGACTGAGCCCTGCGCCTTTCCTAGATAAAGCTTTGTATTGAATATGAAGAAAATCCAGTGAACGGTTCTTGAGATAGCTTAACATGCAGGTTTACATGCTGAAATCTTCAAAGTGTCGCCATGACCTTGAAAATTATGTGAAGGTCACCAAAATCAACTGGGCCCTGCGCCTTTCCTAGATAAAGCTTTGTATTGAATATGAAGAAAATCCAGTGAACGGTTCTTGAGATAGCTTAACATGCAGGCAAAACGTTGTGACCTTGAAATTAAGGTCAAGGTCACCAAACCTGACTTGGACCTTTCTTATACTGTGATGAACCTAGGTACCAATTATGAAAAGAATCTAGTGAACGGTTCTTAAGATATTCCAATTCTTACGTACATACGGACGGAGCCTAATAATATATCCCCCGCTTCGCGCTAAACGCGCGGCGGGGGATAATAAAGCCAGCAGAACATTTCTTTTACATGTACATTCCTCAACAGTGGAATGATGTTGAAATACTGTTTCTTCACAAAGCTGAAAACCACAAGCCATTAGGGACCGTTCATAATTTATGGCCGGGGGAGCAAGGTGGATGATCTTTATGGACAAGCATGTGTAATGTGAGTGCCCCCAAGTGTATGTACAAAGTGATCCCTCTCCATGTCATGTACAAAATCAATGACCCCCCGCTCCCCTTCCCATATTTTTTAAGCATAAATTGTAAATAGTTTAATGTACAAAACTGCTGAGCCCCAGTACCTGTGTACAAAATTGATGACCCCTCCTACCTCCCCAGGTGCCCCTTCCCCCTTATGGTCATCAAACACACACAAACACACACAAATTGTGAGCGGTCCCTTTTGACAATACGAAAATCTTCAATGCCTTATACAAATACCGTATTTCCACTATTAGATGTCTGACATCTAATGCTGGCTTAGAGGCAACTCACCATCTTCCCAAATCCATGAAGTTAGAGTCATAGAAAGAGTACATGTGCAGGAAACGGGTATTATTAATCTTCACCATATTACAGAAGTGGAAACTCGGCATTAAATATAGGCTCGGGTTCTTTATTAGGAGGGCAGAGCATATAAGAACGCTTCAATAACAGGCGGGCGTATAATACGTCATGACGTCTAATACAGGAAATACGGTATATATTCAAATATTCGGGATACAAGACCCAACTCTTCAGATGGCGACATCAGTGCAGATCTGCTGGAGTGAATCGTACGGCCCACTGGAAGACTAGGTCAATGTGACCTAATATGTCGACAATCTTTGACTTCTACACGGGGCAAGGGCGTTGAACAAAACGCAGGTGTAATCAAAATCGCATTCCAAAGTCATGGTTTTAACGCTCTTTGGATGACAAGCGCGTGAGTACTGCGATGCACTTTTGCATTTAATCATTACCAATACGATGACGGATCTCGCGTTTTGAGGTATGCATCAGTTTCCCGACATTACAGATAGCCTAGTATATGCACTTAGCCAGGGCATGCATAATAGAGGGTGATACCGTTTGGCGTGTTGCACATTAATGGACTGAGCTAAACCAATTTAACAGTTACTTAGTTAGCGTTAAGAGCAAGATAGACTCTCACTTTCAAATGTCGGATGTCGACGCACACAAGACAGCTGCTGTCAGTGTCACCAAGCTAGATGTACAGAAGTCTACTCTTGTCTCTTCGGCTCTGCAAGGGCATGCACAAGCAGCAAACCGATGACGTAATCGTCAGGTCCCGGATGATGTAAAACATACGCATGCTCACGCCCTTTCACCCGTTCGGAGAGATTTTACGACCGCTTCTATAAGTTACTAACGATGCAACTAAAACAACTACGTGTACATAACCAACATGCGTGTAGATGACGTAGAGTTAAGAGTTCAGTAAAGAGTTAATTTAACTTAGTACGACCCAGCTAGTAAGCCAGTTAAATGTAACAAAGCTTTGCAGTCACTATGGGAACATAGCGAAAAACTTATCATTGGCTTTCCCTGAAAACTGTCAAATACGTTAGGTTTAGAGGTGTCTGTGTATTAGACTAACAACTAGTCTCAGAAATGAACATATTTTACTGAAATAAGTTCATAGTAAAAAAAATATAATATAATGAAAAGGAGCCCTGAGACTTTCTTCATTTTCATTTTCTTGGCTCAGTGTGGGGTCTTGGGGAGTGGTGGGGGAGGCTCCCCATGAGTTAATATTAAACACTAGTGACAGCTAGAGATCAACTGATAATTACAAGCCATATTCTGGCTTGTGAATTCAGCAGATTGGTACAGACCCTGAAGCTGAGGAAATCTAGACTTGCCACATTTTCTAGACTTGCGTGGGCTTTCTTGGATATATTTGCTTCAGGGTCTGTACGACAGACTATCTGTGTATGTGCATCATGTCTAAACGCTAAACCGTGTCGTCGAATTCTAGATCATTAGTAAGGATGTTCATGAAAAACACCTTACATATGACAGAGTCACGTGAGCACTCTCCAAAGAGAGTGTTATGTCGGAGGACTGTGTGTGAGATATAGTTGACTGGCTTGGTGTCTACCTAAGGCCTGACCTGGTCTTTCAAAAATATCTTGTTGCGTAATGTGTGGATTGGGCGTGGACCTTATATTATGCGAGCATATAAAATAATAAGGGTTGTAAGTATTATTATTGAAAGCATGGGGTCTCACACAAACAGCATTTGCCATGTTGCACCGCTATGCTCAGCATATAGAATTCGTCAACTCCATGTTGAGTAAAAGTACATTGTTTTGATACGGGAGATAACTGCTGATGCAATAAATGAATTGGCCAGGGCATGGAGACAGTGGACATTTACATAGGTTACCTCCCTTCATCTGCGGTACATCAACACAAGCAAGAACCAAACACAATTCCATCTTGTGCATGGAATTGGTGATGTCTTATTTCATATCATTGTGAGAAATTCCAACACCATGATCAACAACACCTTTTCCATGTAAGCTATGTTTGCTCAGCTTGTAAGGCTAACGTGAGCAAGACTGTATTTTAATACACCTTTCTACTCAAATATTTGAAGGGCATTCAGAAGTGGAATGTATAAGAAAAGCAAGATTTATGGATGTCAACTTCTTTATTGTGAATAAACGTTTCCTGGTGAACGAGCAAGCATACACTCCGAAACGTGGTGTTACTCACAATAAAGAAGTTGACATCCATAAATCTTGCTTTTCTTACTCGATCATTTCTACTGTTCTTGGTGTGAGAGAAATGATTTTCTCAAAGCTCTGAACACTATATATAGTCCTTACCACCACTGATACACTGTAGCTCTGAACACTATATATAGTCCTTACCACCACTGATACACTGTAGCCACAGTTAAATGGAAGCAGGTATTAACAGCATGTCTTACGCACATAACACCTTGGACTAACAACTAGTCTCTGAAATGAACATATTTTACTGAAAAAAAGTTCATAGTAAAAAAAAAATATAATGAAAAGGAGCCCTGAGACTTTCTTCATTTTCAGAAGCCGAGGAAATCTAGACTTGCCACATTTTCTAGACTTTCGTGGGCTTTCTTGGATATATTTACTTATATTTACCTCACAATAGTCCACTGAGTACTAACCATACAAGCAACATTTTGATAAGGTTCATTACGCGAAGTGGTATGTTATTTTAACTGGATCCAGTACACAGCAGCAGGGATGTTAGTCTGGGGATAATAATAGTACAGGAAACTCCATTAAGTAGAATACGTCGAGTGAATTACAGGATTAAAGATATATTTAAACATTATACGTTGTCAGTCACCTTTTCTAATACACATTGCGAACGAAGAATGGCTGTTTGATTGCATGTCACTTAATGTTTTGTTTGTTTATTTGTTGTTTAACGCCGCACTCAGCAACATTCCAGCTATTTGACGGTGGTCTGTAAATAATCGAGTCTGGACCAGATAAACCAGTGATCAACACCATGAGCATCGATCTATTGTGAATACAATGACATGTGTCAACCAAGTCATCGAGCCTGACCACCCGATCGCGTTAGTCGACAAGCATGGGTTGCTGAAGACCAATTCTAACCCGGATCTTCACGGAAGAATAGTTCAATAAAACAAACACATTGCTGTAATTCACATATTGTATTCGCAAAAAATCTTTTTACAATAAAAATAAAACATCTGAATAAAGCAAACAGAGACAGGAGAGTGTGCAAGAACAATCACAAATCTAGATGCATGCACCTTCTTACTTCACAGTTCAAACAATGTGTGTTGTAGAGTGCATGGAATCCAGATATGTATATCACAGATATTGGTGAAACAGCTCTAAAAGAGAGTTATATACAAGTATGATGCTCCTATACACCTTTAAATTGTTTCCAAAAGGATAAAACGGTTTCAACACGAAAACACTCAAACCCAAAACGGGGAAAATATGTGGCTAGAAACGGTTTCATTTAAGGTTTTGCATTGAAAACATCGAAAGTTCTTAAATGAATAGTTTGCAACCTGGTTCTTCATCCACGCAGTTAGAAATCGGTCTATTTACAATAAAGCTTGTGTAGAAAACCACTTTGATTACACTGAGACAACAATATATGATACTGATGCTGGAAAATTGTAATTGGACGGAATATTGCATATGAACAAACTAGTTAATTATGGACAGTATCAAACCTTTCCAGCAGTGGCAAACGTAATACTGATTCGATTTGGTTCAAAAGAAAACAATACTGTGAAATGGACATTTGGAACAGCTCTGTTTGAATATTTAACAACATGTTTATGTCCTTTTGCAACATGCAATAAAAGGGGTTAACATTTCCCCATACAAGGCCATCACAGATGAGCCAATAGGACAATCAGTGAGAGAACTATATTCAGGCGCAGTTACACAGAGACAATGCGTGGTGACATGGGGAAGGTTTTGCGCATGCCCAAGCACTTCTCTCTGTCGATGAAGAGGCTGTTGTTCTTGACGGACAGGTCCTGTTCCAGGGCGGACTTGGTTCGGAGAAGTTCCTGGAGGGCATTCTCAGACATGCGCAGCTTGGCCTGGAGGAAGTCCACGGTGTCCGTGATCTCGGCAACCTCTGACACAAGTCTGAAAGGAAAGGGCATAAGGGTTAAGGCATGGGTAACAGTAGGTAGCCTATATCGGTGTATGTAACGCACAGATATTACTTAGACAAAGGAGTAGAGGCATCGGAATAGAGGCAATGACAGAAATGATGACACTATTTGGAGGAACAAGTAATTTTCATCTATCATCTTAGTGCCTCGGGATAGCTTACGATATTGTAGTTTAAAGTAGGATAAAGTGCAGCATAAGCTGTTTTCAGACCCAAGTCGGTATGAGTAGGCTAATTCCTGTAGACATATCACAATGTCATTAATGGGGATGGTGCTCACCTGTGTTGGACAGGGTCGCGGCAGAGTTCAACGTTGGGCCTGCGGATTCTTGTGTCGAGCCTGGTGTGGGCGACCTGCATGGGCGCCTCTTTGTCCTGGATGGCCTTCTTCAGCAGCTCGATGTTCTTTTCCATGTCGAAGATCTCCTGCAGGACCTGAAATACAACAATATATATTGAAATAGTGAAAGACACGAAGAGTTCTCAGATAGAAGAAGGGGATTCGTGGATTACGCAGAGACGACAACCTTAACTTAAGGTGGAACAAGATGAGTAATAGTGTACGTTGTGGACACCAGGGTGACTTGGAATAGAGAATGCCCGTTTAACTGGAAAAGACGACCTTCCTTGGAAAGTTAATTTTTCATCATTTAAACAAAGACAAGCTCCATATGGTGACAACATTACCCAGATCGCAAAGATATTGGATTTATATAAGTATGACAAATGTAGAACACATTAAGGTAACGAGTCCCCCAAAATAGTATTGGCTAAGGGTGTGATCTTTAGTATTAAGACCAATGGAAAATTATTCTAAACCTCTTTAACAATACTTAATGGTTCAAGTGGCCTTGTAAATAATGATCCTCCAACGCATGCCTGCAATAGATCTTCGAGTTCTGCGGTAACATGCTGAGTGGCCTACCTTGGACAGATGGGTCTGGAGTTTGTTTCTGGCGTCAGTTGTCTCCTGCATCCTGTGAGTGAGGGCCACGTTTACTGCGTTCCACTCTTGCCACATCTCGTTTGCGCAGGAGTTGAGCACGCTCTCAATCTCATTCCTCAACTGTTTGGAAGCGGCGCGCTCGCTCTGGGAACGCTGGATGTTGTCGTTGCTGAACTTGGCCCATGTCTCAGGCACGGAGACACTGCAGAGTGGATGAAACGTTGGATCATGACGTGTAAGAAAGATGAATTGTGAATATATATACATATACTGTGTATCAGTTAAGATTACGTACAGCAAACCATTACTGATGCAGATTTCTTTAAGTATATGCCGGAAAGTAAAATCCATACTACATGTTACTCGCTATGCAGTGTATATAGTGATATACAGATATATACTACTTATGGGATAAATGTTTGTTATGTGGTATATATACAGTGCCGGTGGTCATGCATTGGTTACGCAGAGTGGGTGTATATAAAGCAGAGGTCGACAGACGTATATACATGTCGTAAACTGCCGCGTAGCAAGAGGTTATTTCTTTAAACAAAAGCCACAATAAATTGTGTTACTCGTGTTAATATATGCCCATGAAGCATTGTTAATTATTCACAAACATAAAAAAGGTTACTGTGTTACTGGATTGTCTGAAGTCTAGCATAGCAACATACGGACAACAATCCCACGTAGGGTAAGCATGACTTCAGACAATTATATAAAACAAAACAAATATTAATCAACAACACAAGACCCCCATCACCTCATTAGAGCCAAATGACTTAAACTGTTGGAGGCACAGCATGTGATAAAGATTGTGAATGTGAATTTCGGGAGGTAACGGGAGTCTCTGTGACCACAAACATCCTGTGAAATAAAACATGTATTCATCAACACGAACTCAAAGGAAAATTCAAAGAAAAGCAAGAACATGGTGAACCACACAGCATCAGCAGCAACAACACGTGGGATACAGGTTGGTGCGTCACACACTCAACTCACGTATTGTCAATCCTGTTGACGCCATTATGGTAGGCGAGGCCACGGGAGTTGTTCCTCATCAGGTGGCAGTTCTCATCAAGGTTCTGAGCCATGAACTTGTCACCAGAGTCCTTCTCAAGCTCATGCTGAGCTGCACGGTTCAGGCTGAGAGAGAAGACAGAGCAGATAACTACAGAAACTAGAGGAAGAGTACTTACGATGGGTCTATTGTGTGAATGCCGTTGTGGTAGGCAATGCCTCTGGATGAGTTCTTGATACCATGGGCTTCCGTGTCCACGGCCTCGGCTATCTGTTTGTCTCGCTCATCCATTTCAATCTCGTGTTGAGCAGCCCGATTAATACTAAGGTAATAGAGTACATTGTATTTCTGCTCTTGATGTGAAATATGACCATGAAGATGGGGTTTGGAGGGATATATTAAGTAAGGGCATATGATAAAGACCATGAATGAGCTATATTTCATCATGTGGCAAATGAAATTATGATTGAAATGAATTGAAACAAAGTGGATTCAGGCATGATGAGCCGTGAGCATACCTGAAATGAATTGTGCACACAGTGGGTAAAACGTCACCGAAAACAAAACTTATATTTTATGATACCGAACTCAGATTCAGATGAAAAAACCCGGCATACAATATTGGGTGCCTTCATTGTCACGCCATATGTTCTTGCCGACATTATCCTGCTTTCGCGGGTATAAAGATGTTTTTGGCAGGCATTGGCTTTACCAGTTGGAACAGTATTACTGTGTACTACGTATACCGGAAAGGGTATCCTATGTAGTATAATTTGACCTCAAAACCTTTCATTTATCTGGATCAAACATCGTAATGCGTTAAACGAATGGTAATATGTGATGAAGCTGATGATACCTGAGCTGGACATTAGCCTTGTCGATGACATTCCTCATCCTGTCCTGGCATCGCTTGATGATATCCACCTCCTGGAAAAAATAACCCCTTGTGTTACGAACAACTGGAAAACATAGCACAATATGTAAGGAACCATTGGGAAATATAACACTATGTGTTAGGAACCATTGGGAAATATAACACTATTTTCCTGAACCAATGGAAAACATAGCATAATGTGTTAGGAACCATTGGAAAACATAGCACGGTGTGTCAGAAAACATTGGAAAACACAACATCGCGTGCCAGAGCACAAGAAACACCTTGCTGTCTGCCATAAGTGTGTTCCATTTACCAAATAACCATATCTGTTCTTCCCATGTCATGAACAAAACATTTTCACCAAAGCCACCAAATACAATGTAACATGTTAGTCCTCTCTGAGAATTAGTCTAACGATATCTGATATATCGTTTATAGTATCCGATTAATTTGATGAAAATATAATGTTATTTATGAATAAGAAACCTATATTTTACAAATATATTGCAAATTACTATTTGTTCAAACGGCTAAAAGTAAACAATAGCTTACTGAAGTGGCGGTGGCAATGCAAAGACCCCCTCTATATATTTTACACGCACACAAAGCAGGTATCGGAGCATGTAGCTGGAGACTTGTCATACCGGGTTGTCAGTATGGTTCTATAAGGATTATGAACATGACATGATGACCTTTCAAACACTATAATACACACTATCCAGACAGCAGCACCGGGACCGTATTCAAGAGCTCACGAGTCATAATGACACCCATTCATTACAATCTACCGTCAAATTGCTTGCAAGGGTACATAACAGATGTATGCAACTTCTTAGCTGCCTGCCTGGTCAGGGCATGTATAAAAGAATACGAACCCTTAGGAACCCTGGCCATAGATCGATCTATGTATTTGATCGATTTGTAGGTTTGAATGTGCTTTGTGTGCCCGTTTATGTAAGTCAACATGCCGGAACGATCACGACCCGTATATTAACCTGGAATTGCATTGAGAAAATCAACAAAAACGACACTGAATAAGATCTGGCTTGTAATACGCATTTCTGGTAGATTGACGTTAAACAGCCAGCAATAATCAATATAGATCTTTGAGTATCCGGAATAATTTGCTCCAACTGGGATTATTGCACGTGCAGTAGACGAGGCGTTATGGAATATGACGTACTGTGGCTTTTAATGATAATTCTTCATACGTGGATATTTCCTGAACTTGTTGCACGTACCAGTGGCGTCGTAACAGAGATTAAATTGGTTGTACGTAGTTCGGCATATTAGACTCTTATCCACAATGGATCAAGGCTTTGGAGAACTCAATTAACTCACTTTCAGCAGAGATACAGGCAATAACCCTCTGCAGTCATGTTTGTAGATTATACAATACTGTAGATCAAACGTTTGCCTGTACAAAGTTAACAAGCGGTGAGACATTACTTCAGCGCGATCTACAGCGCTGGCTAAGGTGACTGCCCCGTCGGAACCTTGACAAGTTATTCTGACGGTGAATGTTGCGATAATCGATAACGGCCTGATGGCGCAAGGTTCTTCAGTCGATATCGATGAAAGCTGACTGGGTTAGCTTACTCAACAGGATAGATTAGCCACGGTATTACGGTGCAATATTTCTCAATGGACCACTGCAACAGAGGTCTTTTATTGGAAAGCTATTAAGCTCAGCAGGTAAACAAGCAAATCGACGCATGAACGGATGTACTTTGCGAAGACAAGGTTATTATATGGAGTTAATGTAACTTGCTGCTTTATAATTAGCGGCCTTGTTATGCCATATGTCAGAATAGGAGGAAATGGCGAAAATATGCAATATTGAGAATAATAATCTAAAAGTAGTTGCAATAGTAAAACTAAGGAATATTCATGAAATAGGGGATTGAGTCCGGATATTGGCGGCTTAACGTAATCAGATAGCATGTCGATTTGTGAAAGTACCAAAACTTCAGTTTCGAGATCACAATATAAATGTCAAAACCTGACCATATCAAATGATTATCAGTCATATTTCTACTCAGTGGTGACACAGACGACGTAGAGCTAGGTGACGATGGGATACTCCGCAGGGGGTCGTCGCCATCTTGCCAGCTATTCTCGGACGCGGTGTTTTACTAAACCTTAGGGTTAATCCTATTTGTTCGATTGGTGATCCAATAACGAGATATACCGATAAACTTTCACTCTCATTGTATGCCTCTCATGCTAGCACACGAACACGACTGATAAACCCACTACAGCATACCACTGTGTAGTGGATACCGCTAATGCTGTTGTAAGTCCATAGCCTATTCCCCTCTACACCCTTCGTCGGAAATGTAGGAGTTTGTATGTTAATCAAAGGTAAATGTATGCATCCCTGTTTGACAATTATTATTCATAAAATATATTCTAATATGATTTAAATACCCCTTAAAACCATCATATGCCAAACAAGACTTGAAATTTGTAATACATTCATTTGCAACATTACTCTCTATATCATGGCAGCAAGATCATAAATAGTTGATTCGTGAAGCTCCTTGAAACAGATTGAATTTCACATTGTTAACACGTATGACAAATTACAGGCTAAATTTTTTATCTAAAACGAGGCTGAATGTTTTCGAAACGAATTTTGATTGTTTGTAATCTTCGAACCTTTTCCCACGCGAACATACTAAAGTATTCATGACTACAAGTCTTGTAGTGTCTTGAAGTAAGTATAAAGAGCATGTACCAATCCACCATCGACCGTCATACCTACTCAGAGACAGTTACTGTCGATTGGGTAGCTGTCACCATCCTCCATTGCTAGCTCATTACAGACAATACGTGAAGGGTTAAAGCACTCCAAGGTCTCAAGGGGAATAGCCCAGGAGGTGGTGTGATTTATGCTTGCTTTTCGTTTCTCTGTTTCATTACTAGGTCACCAACACGGGCATTGGGGATGCATTTTTAGCAGTAACACTATAACGGAGGTTCGCTGATAGGTCTAATTTATTACTTTAGACGAGCTTACTGACTGGTTTTGGTTGTTGTCTGCGATGTCACTTCTGTTAAATAAATCGTATTTTTATCAGTTTCATCATGTCTACCTTTAATAAGTTACATAAATGTCAACAGTATTTGAATTATGATTCACGTTGTTGTTTGAGTTACTGATTCAATAGGGCAAAACGCATCTTATTTCTTAAATGTTGCATATGCTTTCCCGTTGAGTATCAGGCATACGGAACAATAGCATGATATTCAACGAAAATAAAGAAACACTGTGACACCGTGAATTCCCTTTAGCGTTAATGCCAAACTCTTTATCACGCATTCATGGACCATTGTCAGATGGCTATACCACACGAACATTATTGTAAGGAGAATCATTCAATATACCCCGATCCCAGTGTTTGGCTACAGAGTTACAGTAACCATTTGCCTACAGTGGGTATGTGGCCCATAGCGGTTAGGGTTCATAAATCAACCAGATCCCACGGTCAACAAGCACACAGGTTTCTTGATCATGGTTTCTAGCGTCTGATGATATCTTAATACGTTAGTCATATCATAATATCCTATTTCAGACGAATAGACATTAAACTGACATGATAACTACCAGATCTATAAATTCATTTCAATCTTCCAGTTAAAGGATAAAAAACTGAATTAGGAAACGTTCAATGAATGTGTGATCAGAACATTTAGTGAAGACAAAATAATGACAAGGGACCGAGACCGTGTTCCTGTGTGGGGAATCGATCCCAGACGATCGTTTGAACTACCTACTGCGCTACCCTGTTGCCCTGAAGGAAATGTGGAGACGTTATAGCTTCATGACCCCTAATAGGACCTTACGTCACCAACTGAACAGTATGACTGTTATAGGGATTAGCTTTGCATTACTGTTTGTTCAGGTTGACAAATACATGTATTGGGCTGTGTCATCATGCATTACATTTCATTTAATTTTAAGGACCACCCTATCGATTAAGTTTATTTTCTTTTCAAGTATGCGTTAACACCTGACTCAAACACTCAAAATATATAATACTGTTGCTTTATACACAATTGTCCAATGCGTATGCTACTTTAGGTTCGGTTCGAATACGGTTTATAATTCAGTAGCTACAATAGGCTCTACATACTTGTTTCTAATGCAGGGCTAAACCTTTTCTATTGGGATACACGTGGGTTAGAATTAAACGTGCGAGACTGATATGAACCTTTTCAAAGTCTTTCACAAACCTTATCTACAGCGTGGCTTCAAATCGTTATCGTTATTGACAGCTTGATCAATCACATGTCAACTTGGGTATGTACCCCAAAAGACCACCATATAAAAAGACACAACCCAGGGCCAGAAAAGGTAAGGAATCTGTTATAAATTTTCAATAGAACGTATTTTATATGATTGTATTCAGACATGCAGTGGGGTTTTATATCTTGCTTGCCAGTATGGCTGTTCCTATCGCGACATATCATTCAATCTAGCATAAAAAATATAAACATTAATTATTCGAAACAATCTATAGGTGTAAGTTAAGAAATCGTCGTCATATATAAATCATCCCAGCTGATGTTGTACATACACCTTTCTTCTGGAAACTTAGTGTTAGGGCTCGAAATTAACACATTTGGTTCATTCACGTCTAAAGCTCGTATGCTCAAGCATTAAGACTACCTGATCTGGGTGTATTACTGTATACATAGACTGCTGAAATAACTGAGTGTTGTTATACGTGGTTTGTTTTGGGCACTTGTCTCCATATAGCCGAGGTTATTATTTATAGCAAGAATGAACGCCAGGACTGGTTTGACTGGTTTCACAGAAAACATGCCTATGATGGCATCACTTATTTTCAAATCAATAACACCTGTCAATTTTGATGTCGAGCAAACATTCAGTCCCACTGCTAATTTCAGATCAATTCTTACACTCGTGGGATGTATGCTAATTGAAGAAATGCCGTCTAGGTCAGATGACCTGTTTCAGTCTCACAATGAATATATGATGGTATTCTCATGATTACCAGTTTTGCCACTGATCTATATAGAGAGCAACATTAGCAATGACTTATACACTCATTACAAACTTTATAAAGATAAGCCTTAACCTTCACTCCCTCAAATCCCCCCAAACAGTGTATATTTATTTAGACTGTAACTTTAAATCTGACTAACACAGGAACAGAACTCAGTAGAGAAATGATATGAACATAAATATTGGTACCTTGATGAGTTCCTTCTCTGGGTTGTCATGCACGAGGTCGATGGTCTGCCTCTTCTCTCTGTTGTACAGACACTCCTGTGAGATGTGAAGGGGATTCTCTGTCTCAGCCAGAGCCTTCTCCATGATCCTCTTGGCCTCCTGGAGAGAATTGGTCTCAGTGATCATGTTGTCGGTCTCATGGTTGAGTTCTGTCTTCCAGAAGGTGATGTCCCCGATCCTCTCGCCAAGTCGCTTGCCCACATCGCTCTGGGTGCGGCGGGTCTTGTCGTCTGTCTCACGGCAAAGACGGACGGTGTCGAACCTCAGACGCTCAGCACCGCTCCTGACCCTGTCAGACGACAAGTAGTTGCTCTGGTTAGATGAACTCCAATCATTGGGGGTGTAGCGGGTGTAGAGAGCATTCCTGGCAGCAGCGAACACTGGGGGCACTTTAATACTATCCAGTTGAGTGAGCTGGTTCCTAGCTGACATAGGGTCAGGCATGCTGCGGGTAAGAGCCGAGTTTGGGTTCACCATTGCGGTCTGGTAGTAGGTGCTGGGTCTCCATGGGAGGGTTGTGAGAGACCTTCTAAGTGGTGATGGAGCCGGGTAGGTGTCATACGCTTTGTAGGAGGAGCGCATGGTGCTGATAGAGGGGAGGAAGTCTGTCTGGGTGTTGTTCCTGGGCCCAGTCATGTAGGTGGCGGTTTGGGTGTGGCCAAGGTACTCCATTGTTGGATGGTCGGAGTCAAGGAATGCTACTTCTGAAAGTGCAAAAGGAACAATGAAGTGATGACAAAATGTGAACATATAGGAGATGCATGAACAACGTTGGAAATACATCAATATACATATGCTTTGGTTTAATATTCAATAAGCAATCAACTGCATTTAAGTAACCCGTGTATATTTTACAGTTGCTTTAATATGACGGCGTGTGGTAAAACGTAACTATACAAATGAATATTGTAAAGCAAAGTTATGAGATAATTATTGAAGTTTTTATAACTACTTTATTGTCATAAGAAATCCACCATCAATATGAATGGACGTGTACGACTTGGTTGGGACTAGTTCTCCTTGCACTTTACTGACATTCGGATTATCTTCAGTGCAGTATTAATGAAGGCAGTTCAACATTGCAAGTAAATGTGCGCATGTGCAAACCTTGCCTTATCGTTTATCAACTGACTGAGTTATCATTAATTATTCACTATCTTGACATAATTGATTAAAGCGGTTAGTCTCACGTGCATAGTTACAAAGTAAAACATTTGCGGTGACTAGGTTACGGACTGTGATGCACCGTCATATATCCTTCCGCTTTGAGAATACTGGCATTGAGTGGCAAGGTATGAATGAACCATTTTGTAGTTGGGATAACAAAAACAATTTCAGCAAGATTATTTAGAAATACACAACTTTAGACATCCGTATTTTTGATATCCTGTTTCAATCTATTAAATATACATAACGTAAAAACCTGTACGAGGTATTAAACCTGTAATATATTTGTTCATGATAATATATCGTAAAACGGGACATTCATAGTTAAATCATAATTTAGCCACGCACATGTCGTCTTTAGTACTTCTCAGCAAAATTCTCATGAAGTAAAATACAGGTACATTGGATACACAGAGGTATTGCTATCCGCAACAGCAGTCATAGACATATAGCCAGTAACTTGCCAACACATAGCTGAACGGAACTACAGCCTTTTATTGGGAATGCCCATGCGAATATATGACATTGACACAAAACGATTTACCTTAAAATGAACTGCTCACGTATATCAGCTATGTCACATAAGAATCACTCATATCCCCCAGACAGACGACCAGTGTAAGGTATGACGACTGTACACATGCTCTGGGCAGAGATCCCGTGCGTATAATACTGAAACGGCCTGCTCACTGACTTCCCAAAGATCTGTGTTTACAGTCACCTCGCTACCTAGAGACACTCGGCAACGTGAGAGGAAAGTTGCGCTATTGATTGAGTTCGCAGAGCCCGCGCGAAACAAACGACCATCAAACGTTCATTTGACAGTCTTATTCAACACCTTTATTCAAAACGAATCAAATAATAGTATCGGTACACGATAAATTTTATTCATTGAAGTAGATTTTGATAGCTCTTTTTGTCCTCAATAATTACTATCGTAACTATGCGGTCGATCTTGAAAAGACGTGCATTTCACATTGCCTGATTATTGCCTTGTTAACGTTTGTTAAGTGCACCTGAGTTACGTGTGACTTTTCATGTGAAGTAGTCTTCGATTTACATGTTTTCTACAGCAAGTGCACTTGCTTGGCTAGTCATTACACAAATAAAATATCCAAAAGGTTTATGATGAACGCATGAAATCTGTAAACAAGGATAACATTACTCCAAAATAAAAGCCGCGGTTTAGTTTGAGCAAATCGAATATCTTAGCGTTGTGTCTCTTCATAGAGAAATTCAAGAGCAATATCAGAAAGTTCTACAGATCTTTAATCACGTAAGTATCCCGACATCAACGGTAACTCTGTAGAAATATGAGCAATAACCATCTAACCACCATTCATTACACGTACTTTCCTTCTACGTTGTCTGTTATTTTATTTTAACTAGTACTATTATACTAATAATACCGAAAATTTACATAGCGCTAAATCCAACCACTATAGTGGATGCTCAAAGCAACTAGGACCAGTACACAACAGGCGGGATGTTAATCGGTGGATAATAACTGTAAGGCAACTCCAATCAGTAAAACACTAAATGTTTTGCTTGTTTGTTTTTAACTCCGCTCTCTGCAGTATTCCAGCTATAGGGCGGTGGTCTGTAAATAATCGAGTCGATCACACAATCCACTGAGTGACTGCATGAGCATCTATCTACGTAATATTGGGATACGATGACATGCATCAACCAAGTCATGCGAGCCTGACCACCCGATCGAATTAGTCACCTCTTATTTATAAGACAAGCATGGGTTGCTGAAGACCAATTCTAACCCGGATTGTAACATGTGACACTTAATGTAATTGAAATATTGCAATATACTAATACACATTGAGAAGGAAGAGTATTAATTTGACTGCATGCCACTAACTGTAATTCTTGCAATACTATGATAAAAGGAGTATGTATAACTACTCAAATACACATTGAGAAGGAAGAGTATTAATAATATGAATGCAAGTCACTAAATGTAATTGGTGCAATTATATCATAATAAGGGGTATTCATATATTATGTTTCCTCTCTACAATGCAGAATCAAGAACATAATATATGTTAAAATACAATTATAGTGTTTAAGTTATGTCTCGATGTTTGTTTCACCAAATTTTAATGTATGATATGTGCAACAAAATGATGAATCAGAAGACATTATTATACACATTGTACTTGACATTATGATATAAATGTTTGTATAAGTAACTGATACGATTAACAATTAATTCGTGTGTGTTTAAGACCTTAAGAAACAATACCATGAAGCATCATTGAACATTTGGGTTTAATCGTAAAAGAACAGTTTTGAAATATATAAAACGTATTTACCCCGGTTTTTGTACAGTCTAGAACTGTTGTTCCTGTTAGACGATAACAAAGCGGTGTAAATCGTATTTTCCATAAGTTGTTAACTGAAAACGCATCCAAGTATTTAGGGTCCCGTGGATCGTGATGCGGCTCTGTGCGGTTGCCGGGAGAAGTAACTTTTCCTTCCCGAAATGCACCGCGAGGCCTGACGTAACAGTATGTGGACTCTTCAGCGAAGAAGGTAGAAGAGATCAGTCAATATGGCGGACGTTCCAGCTAATGCGCCTCAGCGTGAGTATTGGGGATATATTCTGTGTTTTCGATGTTAATGAAAGCATATTTTAATGTTTATACCTGAGATCATATTTCTAAGACATCTTACTTTATAGCAGATCAGCTGTCATTTGGTTTTTAACCCCCCTGGCTGCCGAGTTTTTTTTCAGGCGCACATTTTCATACAGTTTGAAAAGTGAACGTTGTGCGAGAATTGCTCTCGCGTGGTCCTGGATCTACGTAAGGCTATAAAATTACACAGAAATGTAGAATATTAAATTTCCTATCCGTTGGTATAAATATAAGTGCAACTACCTTGGCGGTTTGAGAAATAGACCTTGCTAAATGTTGTCCAAATTTTTGTTATGCGTTAAAAAACAGTAAATTTCTCCGCTTTTTATCGCGCACCGATAAAAGCACTGTGCTAGGAATTTTTTAATGGGGCATCTTTACGGAAAGTGTGAGCGAAGAAAATACAGCCTGATATCTGAACGACATAAGTGTATATGAATTGGGTTTATGTGCTTGTGCATAACGTTATACGCTCAACATTAAAAATGACTCGCAATAAATGTCAAAAATGTATTTTCTTCTATGACGTCAAACGACGACAGAGAGGTCATAAACGTATAATGATAAGGGGGGCATAACTCCGTTATGCGTAACACTAGGTCAATGTAACTCAGATCACTTGGAGAAAATGTGTTGTGGATACGGACGCTATATTTTCGTTATTTTATATTCATGGTGAACCTCACTATTCCAATTCAAAGTTCCCCAATGTGAACGGATGCGCTTTGGTAGTTTCACAATTTATAAGAAAAGATGACAACGTATTACATGTGAAAGCACGTAATAGCGATTTGGATGGCCCTATCCGATATATAAGTTAGTTCTTAGATTCCCATATTCTCCTGTTTGTGTAGATGTAATTTGACTAATTTTGCATCGTTATTACCAGAGTACTAGCCATATCTTCAAATGTAACGAAATTGCTGAAAATAATACAACATTTTAGTTGACGCCATCGCTTGTTTTATGCATTTTGCGACGTTGGAAAACGACGACACTGGTATGCTGATTAGCATATATCTCACTTAATTTCCATTCATTGTATAAAAGGTCTAGACTTCTATGTCAGAATTTAACACTCTTTAGACAAAACATAAAATGACTGATTTTTCCATTTAAATAGTGTCCTGAATATATCAACAATTAGACAGTTTGACAGCGTGATCTTATTGTGACCAACACGCACCTGTTTGGCATCAATTTAACGTAAATAGAAATAATATTTCACAACACCCGAATATTTTGTTTGGGGTAAGAATTTTGTTTGTTTATGATTATGAAGCTATTTCTCTTCATAATGTATGCAATGAAAGATGCATAAAGATAGCTTTTATATATGGAACTATATATTAGAATATGGATATAAGATTTGTCCGAATTACCACATGAGATGGTATATATATTTTCAACAATTTTCCTATAAGTAGTTAGAGTTTGATATCCTGTCTTCACAATATTATTTAATCGAATATGAATTGAATATATTATCGAAAACAATGATAGAGAATCATAAAACGCTTCCAACAAACGCCAAGCACCTTGCCGATCTATATGCATCATTCTTTTGTCTATAAACGACACAAAATTATGCAATGAACAAGACAATTCCTTTAAATATGTGTGCATGTACATTTCATACCATATATAAATCATTGTCATGAATATTATCAGTTTTGCATATAAGGTTGAATTATATCACCGCTTCATTAACCTGTTCATATGAAATTGCAATATTAGTCCAAATAAATTGAATATTGTACATCATAGGAACTAAAGTAATTGCAGTTATGGCTACGCTTGATCTTCTAACACTTGTGTAAAGGTTTAAAATATGGTGTATTGCAATAAATATGTCAATTTCTTATGTAAATATGATTCAAACAATCAAAACTTTCAAAGAATAAAACACCGTAAACCCTATATGCATGTATGATATGATATTGAACAAGGCTAAATGTAGATACTGAAGTCAGTTTCCTGAAAAAGTATCCGAACTATCCGCAAAATATACATCATAATACTGACAGTGTAATCGGAAGGATATGGCAATTGTGTTTACTCTTGTTCAACCGACCTTCACCTCAAAGAAATTGCCTAATATGTACAACAATGTTGACGTGATGACATCACTACCGCTGACCGATTTCTTACAAAATGGCGGCTTTGCTGACAAGGGTACACAGGATTTTGCGAGGACCCTTCCACTGATTCAGGGATCGCTTGTACATAAATATGAGATGTAAGTAATCAGAATGATTCTGACTATCTGTGTATTGTTATATGTTTTTATCGCTTTCACTATAATGAAGAGAAAAGGACAGAAATGCAGATAATTACCGCTGTCGCTCTGCGGATTTGGCGCCAGTCATGGCGTCCACGCTGCACGGAAACTTTGACAATTTCTTATGAATTATCAAATCATTGCATTGTATCTATTTATAATTTCCTATTTCTTGCTACGATACTCTTTCCATGTATATTCTAAAGGTATTGAGCCATTGCAAGCAATGAATAGACGGATGAATGTTGAAAAATTTCAGAAAATGCTGCGCAGTGTAAAATCGAATTTGTCTTTGTTTACATTTCACACAAACGCAGTCTTTCAAGCACAGCCGCTCGCTTTCACACCCAATATGTTTCGGCCTCATTTTATCTAGACAGTTATTATTGGTGACACAGACCAGTTTCAAATTGATTCTAAAATGTATGGGGAATTCAGTGATGCATTTTTCGCTGAATATGAAATATACGCGGATGTAATAGGCGCCTCAATACCGCCTTCGCTAAACGTGATTTTGTAAACACTATCCAATATGGCGGAAAGCCACGGTGTTCGTGGTAAGTGCATTTTCGAAAACATCCCAACCGATTCTAGATTCATCGGCAACGCTTCAGAATTATAATTAGCTTAAATCATGTAAAACTGATATCAGTGATCATAAATATGTTATTTTTTGAAATTCAATACTCACAGTAATTATCCGATTTTCACATTGCAAAACATACAGCAAATAACGCTGTGAATCGCGATTTCATACTGTGTCAAAAATGTCGCCATTTTCGATGAAGCCTATTTTGTAAGGTCATTTTCAGCACTTGAGCTTTGTTTAAAATAATAGTGGATGGTATCAAGAAACAGGGAATTTCCCGCAGAATTCGAAACTGTGAAGTGTATTTGTGTGCGTGGGATATTTTGATTTTTATTCGACTTCAAATTGAGGGTTGAAGGGGAAGGACATATATGTCCCTGTGGCATCCAGGGGGTTAAGGCTTGATCATTTATAAATTGTAACGCAATTTGGGACTGTCGACCAGTTGTCGACCTCCGTGGGCATGTTGTTAGCTTCATAAAATACTTGTTTATCGTGGTTACACGACCGGCAAGTATGAACTATTAGCATTCTTAGTAATACTTATGTTTTGGCAAGAGGGCATTACACCGGACACTTTCTGCCATATTTTATAATGTGCAAATGTATTTTGATTTAGGGTTAGTGTTTGGGTAAAGGCACTTACTGTCTTACTGTATGGTCTCTGGTTATGGTTATGGTTTTAAATGAACGTAGGCACCTAATCAAAGGTAGGTGTCCAATGTAATGCATGTGTACCAAAATGAGAGTTACAATCATGAAGTGATTTGCCCTGTCATATTGATGTGAAAATAGGAAGAGGGATCCCATCATAAGACTCCCTGGCTAACAATGACTTGGCAGAAATGCACCTACACCTACCTACCTTATTGGATTAATTTTGAACTGAAGAATAATTATGAAACAGAACTCCACCCTCAGTGCCAATCCAACTCTCAGTCAAGTCAATTGTGTTACACTTGCAGGAGTTGCGCTGAAGTGTTATTTCAATGACTAGTTTCTAGTGATATATCATAGAAAAATTAGTTTCTGGGAGATGGATTAGAATGAACCTCTGGTTGTTGTGGTTAGTTTAATTCTGATTGAGTATAGCTGGGATTTTCAAAATGCCATAATGAAACAAGTACTATAGTCTGCACCATTATTATGATTGTGTTTTCACCAATATGATAAATGTAGGAAATATGTATGATATCCGCTTTAAGTCAATCTTGCCTTCTCTCCTATATCATGTATTCTCCTATCCCAGATATCTGATATTAAGGGAAGATGCTATTACCAAGAGGTTCTATGCTATTACTAGTGATGCCTGCTTTTAGACATCATTTACAACATATTCCTTCCACAGACTGCCCTGGTACGGGGAGTGAGGGAGCGGGTCAGGCATCTGCCTGTCAGGGATGCCCTAACCAAGTTCTTTGTGCTCAACCCAAAGTTAAGGATCCAGGTATGACATGGAGAAATATATATAAAATCCGATCAGGGGCACTATTTATTCTAAATGCACAGTGATCACTTTTGGTACATTATTTTGAATCCTAGACAAATCCTCATTGGGACACTCATTGTGAAAATGCCCTGTGGAAGTTACGTGTTCCAGCAGCATTATTTAAAATGTCTTTCTTCACACACACAACTTGGTACTAAGCAACTATATAAATTTTGAAAACTAAATTTCTTTCAGCTTGATAAATGGTTATAAATTTAATACCTTTTGTTTTACTACACATTGGTATTTTTTAGTTATATGATATTTAAGTACTTCTGTTTTATAACCATACAATTTGTGATTTTAACTCCCCTATCGTAATGGAAATTTAGATCCCTGATATGTGAAAAGCTGATGAAGTAACGGTCAGGGTTATATTTTACTTAAAAACAAATCTCTAACCAGATCAGCCAGTAAGTTTCTGTAATCACCACAGAGTGATTCTGTTTGAGTTCATCTCAGTCATTTTGATGTTTATTTGTTTTTCAGCTATTGTTCAGATAAAAGAGAGACTGTCTACTGTTAAACATAAGGTTCTGGTACTATCAGGGAAGGGAGGTGTGGGCAAAAGCACCTTTTCAGCTCATCTTGCACATGGACTGGCCAGTGACAGCAAAAACCAGGTACAGTACCGTATACTCAGTAGTCACCTGACAGAAGCAGAATGTTTTGGGGATAGCTTCTTATACCATAGCGGAGGAAGTTGTTATCCATAAAGTAGCTGACCTTTCTTAATATTCATCAACTTCTAAAAGGCCAATCAAACCGATTAGAACCAAGTTATCTGCCCTTGCTGTCATGCCATCCGTATTGACTAGTTCCTCGCTTGAAGACATGACAGAATAAAGTATGTATGCATCATATATACTGGGTATTGATTGCTTCGTCATTCTTGCTTTGCTTTGTTTGTTGTTGTTTTTAGTTTCTAACAGCTCATATTTTTTTCAGAAAGAGAGAATTTCTTGAGCGTTTTGACTAATTTGATGTTACAATATTTTGACAGTTTAGTAGCATCAAAACATGTCTTTCATTTTAGGGATATTGACATAAGAACAAATTCTAAGCAGTTCACAGAAATGACAACACTTCTTTTTAGATAATAATCATAATATATACATGTGACATACCCTTATTTAGGCTCTTTTCAAATTTGGTAGAATCTGACATGTAACCCTTTTTGTGAAGATATTTGTCTGAGTGAAAAGAGAGGAATATCTTTATGAAGGTTTACTGACAAATTAGTATGTTATATGCCTCTCTTGAAATTAGACAGATAAACCAATGCTGTTTGCTGAGTGTTCTGTATTTCAATGCGTAATAGTAAATAGTAATAGCAATAAGTGACATGAGTGAAATGGTTGTAAGTATCTAGTTCATCTTAATAACTAACCAGGCTAAGATGATTATTTGAACAACATATGAAATACATTTGCCATCTTATTATAGCAACAACAAATCATAAAAACAATTATACGTCTTAACAAATATTGGAGATATTCTACTCAAACAAGGTTAAAGAATACCTGACCTTTTTTTATAAGACTATGCCAAGACAGATTAATTATAATTTTAAACAATGCACTCAGCATTAGTACCAGTAACCAATACAATCATGACTTCATGAAGTAAGTGAAACACTCAGGGTGTTTCATTGCTACTTAAATTTTAGTAATTTTACTTCAAAAGATTATTCTGGTGACAAAGTGTTATTTTAGTAAACAGAAAATCCAGGTTTAACTAAAGTCAAGATTCACAAGAATTAATTTTCCTCCTGGTGTGTATTTGAGTACATTGCCTGACCACTGTCCATTAGATCACATGATATATGTTGGTGTTTCAATAATGCAGACACCTATAATATATTCTGCTTGTACCCCACACCCTGTTATTCCTGTCCGTTTCAGGGGCCCACATGAAGTCAGATCCTTGTCAATGTCAGCTTTGAAATGGGTGTAGATTGCACACCCCATTAAACTCAAAAGAGTCACTCACAAGCATATGCAGTTGGGTCCTTGTCATGCAATAGTATCACATGTTGTGCGCCAATTTTCAAGATCATTAAAACCAATCAAGCATGGCATTAAGCAGAGGGCCTTTAGTACTCCGATATTGAATATGTTGTGGTGGAAGTGAACGGTAACTTTATTCATGGAGCATTTTGTAGGTTATTGAATTTTGACATGCTACTCTTTGAAAATTGAGAAAAAGTTTCCAATTACAAGACAATACCGAGGAAACCCGGTGTGTGGTTGTGATGGAATATTTATGGTCCTGGCAGCAGGATGCCAGTTGCTTGTTGGCCTTTTATTCGCAGATATCCAACTGACTTGATTGAGAATATTATATGTATTTTGTCGGTTGGTCTATTGCTCTGCATACATGGATTTGGGCTCTGGTAAATATGTGAACATGGTATTACTACAGTGATCAGAGCTCTGAGTTGACATAACTTATTATTGATGAGAGTTATTTGTTTATTTCCTTTGATGTTTACTCCTGATAGGGAATGTAATTGCTGACATAATTGCTGTTTACAGGGTTCCACTGAATGGATTGTTTTATGAAAGGGTTGGACAATAAACAATTATTTCTTTCCCTTGCATGTGATGTTTTAATGGTTAATTTCTTAAACTGAAACTGAATTAAGGTTGATATTTATTAACCATTTGATTGATGGAGATTGATGATCATTGGTACATTTTTTCTGCATCTCACATCAAGGATTTTGTGTAAATGTGCTTGATGATTAACTAAATCTCATGCTACTTGGAAGTTTGCATATCCACACGATGAACCCTTAAGTCCTATGTGTTTTAATTATTTACAGCTTTCCTTCTGTAAAGGGACTTAGATAATACAATCGCTTTTGATATGACAAGCTCTAAAAGCATTGTCATGTTCATGATCAAAATGGGTTTTTCCTATTTCCAAGAGTTACACTTTCATTGACATTTCTGAATATAAACAGATATACCACATGTATTACAATAGTCTATTTTAACTTCATTATAAACAGATATACCACATGTATTACAATAGTCTATTTTAACTTCATTATAAACAGATATACCACATGTATTACAATAGTCTATTTTAACTTCATATAAACAGATATACCACATGTATTACAATAGTCTATTTTAACTTCATTATAATCTTCAATTATGTTAGTAACTAAAAAGGTAGATAATATAAATTGTACAAGCATATAATTAATTATGCTGTAATGACAGGAAATCTTTTTATCATTTGTACCAAAGGAATGGGAACTGTTGATTAAATTTATCAATTTCAACAACTTTTGTTATATTAAAAAATATTACAGGTGAGTCCTTGGTTTTACAGTTCATGTTAATTATTTTGTTTTAATATGCATATCTTAAATTCTAAATTCTAAATGTCTAAATTCTACAGCATGTGAGTCCATTATTAAAGGTGTGACACAACACCTCATACTATTTTATAGTGTCATGGTACATGTAGTTGAATAGTTGGATATCAACAACTGTTGCCTTTCATAAGTTTACGACTACAGTATTAAAATCTCGTCATGGCATGAATATGACCCAGAAGTTGCAAGTTGCCGTACAATAAAGAATATGTTCATTGAACACAAGAAAGAGAAAAGTAATACACACTTTTTACCAGAGAGCTGGTCATTGTTATTAGGCATGAACAACCACAATGGCTAGGCACCTTTTGTGAATAAATGGCAGTAGGTCTTTTTGTGCAATGTGAACCCTGTGTTAGCAATTACTTGATACCTGACACCTATTACTGTGATATTTACTCCTTCATGGACCTCTCCTACTGATAAGTGATGTTAGTTGCAGACACCTGATAAACACCTCTTGTCATCATGTGGTGCTTTAAACTTTCAGAAAGTCATATATCAGTGACTTTAGTTGTACCTTACTGTTTCATGAAATACACAATGTTGTCAATTTCATTTTCTCACCTGAATAAAAGGGAGTGAGTCAAGGGATAGACTTCTGCTGTAGGGTGGTGAGGTAGTGGTACAAGGGCTTGAGACGATCAGATGCCTCTCACTGTGAAGCTTCCTTCCTATAAAGGCTAGCTGCCCTATCAACAAGCCGATTGTGGCCATGACAACACTCAGACTTCCCAGAAGGCCGTATTTTGTTTGACATACTAACGTCGCGCCTCAGTGAGGGCAAAGTGATCGCTGGGGGTCCTCCAACACAACCAAGTCCCATAAGCTCATGAATGTATTAGGTCAGCGGTGATTGTTTGTCATAGACCTTTGTAAGCCCATGCACGGTCATGTGTGAACTCTACATGGCCGATGTTACGTTCACTTGACACTGTTTCTTTCAGTGTTAGGGAGGGGAATTAGTTTTCCCCTGCCCCCAGTGAGAGAGACTCTTGACTGGATTTACGGGTGTTAATCATATTGACTTAGGAAGTGATACTCAATAAAAGTTTATTTTGCACATGCTGATTGCTGTCATTGATTTGTGTTTTTCAGTGGATTTGATGGTTTTGAACTGTTTTGTAGAGAATTGACTTTAACATGTAGATTGGAAGAAGGATGTAAAAAAGTATATGTATATTAGTATAAGGTTCTAATAGACATGACTGACTGACTGAGTTTAGTTTTACGCCGCTTTTAGCAATATTCCAGCAATATCACGGCGGGGAACACCAGAAATGGGCTTCACACATTGTGCCCATGTGGGGAATCGAACCGACATTTAACCACTAGGCTACCCCACCGCCCTAATAGACATGAAATTAGCACAAAATTAGCTATATCTGTATAGCAGTTCAATATGTAGACGCTTGATGGTGATCTTTGAAAGTTGAATACATAATTGAGACTAACAATGTATCATCATGTGAAGGTGGGAAGATATGTTTACTAAACTTGTGTGTGGTGAATTCTTTAAATGAATGGATAGTAAGTATCACAGCATTTGAGTCACCATATATATATAATAATGTAATTATTAACAAATATAGTTTCTATATGATGCTTCTGATACCAATAAATTCATTAATGTTCTTTCATCATATTTAAATGCAGGGCTTCCTTTATGTACAGTAGCCTAGTGGTTAAAGCATTCCTTCGTCATGTCGAAGGCCCTGGTTTGATTCCCCACATGGGTACAAGTAGTGAAGCCCATTTTTGGTGTGCCCTGCTGTGGTATAGCTGGATTATTGCTAAAAGCTGTGTAAAACTGTACAGTACATTTCAAAGGATGTGAAACTTGCTGTTATTAAAAGTGTTGTACTATCATTGTAAACATGTTATTCATAAGCTCAGATATATGTTTTTTGGAAAGTGTGTTTGTCAGTCGTCGTATGTATCATGTCTGTCATGTATACTACTCAGAAAATGTTAAGGAAAATTCAGTTCTTTCTCATTACCATAGTTAGTCTGAACAATCTGAGAAGCCGGATTATCTATAGTAACATGAAGAAATCAGGCATTATTTACATTTCATTGGTTGCAGGGGGGAAGGGGTGTGTGTGTGTGTGTGTGTGTGTGTGTGGTGGTGGTGTGTGTGTGAGTGAGTGAGTGAGTGAGTGAGTGAGAGAGAGAGAGAGAGAGAGAGAGAGAGTTCAAAATTTATTTTAAAAACATGCTTTTTTTATACAA